TGTTGTGTAGCGCCGCCCATCTGTCTCCCTGGACCGGTGTGTTGTGCGAGTCTCCCTCACCTTATGTGTTGTGTAAAGCCTCTCTGTCTCTCTCTCTCTCTCTCTTTATACACACACAAACAAACAAACAAGCACACACATACACATAAAAAACTGATTGTAAAACATATTAGTATAAAAAATAATTTAATCTTACTCCCATTTTCTCTCTCTGGTGTGACTCAAATGTATAGTCATGAATGGTTGGTCACTGGACCGAATCTCTCTCCCTCCAGCGTCGAGTCTGACACTTGGAAAGTGTTCACTGACCTCTATCTTTCTTTCTTTCTTCTCCATCGTGACCGAGATGTGATCGTGTGCACGTGTCAAGTTGGTCATACAATGATAAATACTCTTACGAAACATCCAATCAAACACGAACCTCCCAAGTGCAGTGAGCTGCCTAAGGTGCGAAAATGTAAACAGTGACGAAGCATTTTTATATGAGCCAAGTGCGTCAGCCCCCCACTGGATACCTGCGTCTTCCTGTAACAACAGTCTCGCCTGATCCTGATCGGGGGAGGATGAAAACCTCTGTGACGTCTCCGTCATCTCAACTAATCGCATCTTACTTCCATCTGCCACAAAATTTTCAACCTTAACATTCTTACTCCTACCTTACTCAGCTGTGTCTTCAACCCTGGCAGGATGTACTTCACCCAGACACCACCTAAATCTCAAACACCTTTACCCGTGATACTCGAAGAAACGCTGTCCTCTGTTGGGGTTTACTGAAGGGTTACTTAAGACAGGGGAGGCGCGGGTGTGTGTGTGTGTCGTGGGTGACGGGGTTGAGTGTGTCCCCCCACAAACCTTTGTCTCTGGACGACTACCACACTACCTCTCTAAGTGAACTCTTGGATGTTAAGTTGGCTGTACAGCCCTCATCGACCACTACTGTTAGGGACTGGTCCTCACATCTCACAGCCGGCCCTCACAACTCACTAGTAATAGGTGTGACGGCCTTATCAATGCCTATGAATAACATGCAACGTCTCCTCTTCCAAACTTTCATCCTGAGCCTCACCATCGTCATCTTGTGGATGTCATTGTACAATCGCCTGCACTTATACCTGGGGCGGGATAGGGTTTTGTGAGGAATGGCAGAATGTGTATTGAGGTGAATGGGCAGAAGCAACTGTATGACCACGAGATTAAAACACATCATAGCCGACGCTCTCTCGAGGTTCAGAAGATACTCCTTCACTTGCTGACGTGTCCTGAGTCTCCTGTCCCCTCTCAAGACTGTCCATGGAGTAGCGGACTTAAGGGGGAGAAGTGTCATATTGTTTCAGTCCACGTCTGCATATCCGAACATAATTACTGTTCCGCACTTGGGAGACGGTTAGTTTGTGCACCACCTCTACAACTACCCCAACATTCGTCAAGAAGCAGTAATAAGGCAGGTGGTCATTATCACCGTCTCTTTTCCGTACGTCTCTACATCGGTCCAGCTTAAAAATTTACCATATTTTCACTCCCATCTATATTCAGAATTATTAAGAACGACTTCATCACCTTCCTTCAGGCCTGCTGCCCCTCAATTACTAATCCTCGCCCAGGAGTATTTCTCACGCTCGGTGGTGGTGGGGGTGGGGAGGATGGGACTGGCCTCTTCCCCCCCCCCACCCCTCCTCTTATTCTGCGGGAAATGTAAACACGAGTACAATCGGGTCAGTGTATTCCTGGCTGGTGTGATCTTGGTGTGTGTTCCCTCAAGCTATGGACTACTGCGATGGTTTTACTCCGCCCTTCTGAGTTACTTCCACACATACAACAGCTTGACGACTCTAGCTCGTCATACGTCATCCAGGTTTTTGTTTGTTGTTGTCTGTATAATTCAGACTGTTTAACTTGTTCTGATGTATTTATTTATAGTTTGTACTGTTTATTGAATTGTCCTCTTTATGTTGGGGTGTTACTCGTGAGGAATCATTATTTCTTTGGTTCGGGTCCTGTTTTAGGTGTTCTATCTTTTATTTACTTAAGTGAAGTTTAATATTTTAGTTCTAGATACGTATTTTCTGTCCCCTGTGCCACACCATTTACTAGTTCTATGAGTTGTCCAATTTGTGTCTGCGCTGTTTTACTTGGAGAATTTTATACTTTAGTCCTATGGCCAGACTTCATCGAACGCTTTTTTAACATCTTGTATGACTAGGTTCTTATTTTTCACTTTTGTTTTTGCTTTTCATATTTTTAAATTTTATTTGTTTTATTTATTTTATTTTATTTATTTTTTGTCGGGACAGACCATTACTAGAGTTAGGTGGTTGTTGTAGCCTCTGTCTTCACGTGTCTTACAATTACACCTTTAGTTGAAGTTTTACAGTACCTGAATGTACGCCCTTCAGCACACCCAGAACAGATCTTTAGCTGTTTACTTGGGCATTCTGTGATAATCAGAATGTACTGTGTAGCCATACAGGGAGTACCAGTGTTCTTAGAGGAGAAACCTTTTCTTACACCGTCATAACCACTATCAAAAACGTTTCCTCTGACCTCGGAATACTACGACGTCAACAAACACATTGGTGCCAATTCTCACAAAACCCACCAGTCACTGTACCAGGTATAAGTGAAAGCGACTGTACTGTACATCAGTCAGGGAGAGAACACCAAGGTGGATCATGTAGCTAAACCTGCCTGTAGTAAACCCTTGGTCGTCATAAATCTTGCTGCTCTCGTGTAACTATTCATCTCATCCCCTTGCAGGACACTAGGCAGGTGCTACGTAATGTAGTTTAATACCTACCAGCCATGTTGATAAGGGAAACTTGAAGCTGGTATTAAGTCGCACTTGTTTGCAATGCTTACCTCTCGCAGAAATAGTAAACACTGTCTACTTAACAATATATGCAATATGTAAGGGTGTAAAATGTATCGTATTTCTCTATTAATCTATTTCTATTTGGGAACTTTGGTTTTTGGAAATTTAAAACATACACTAAATACTTTGATTTATTTTTATATATATATATAAATATCACAACCATATAAACAAGATAAATGTGTTTATTGACAACGTAAATAAATAAACAATTCTACATATTACTATCGGTGCAGTGCTGGACGGTGTAACACATATCCTGTATTTTCAAATTATATTCACCAGGTGTTCAGTAGTACAGTATAAACATCTGTACTGAACACCTGGCAGTATCGTACAACGCGTAACTCAATATTTGTTCAGATTTACACTCCCGGTTGTTCCACATAAGTGACATATTTCAGGTATTTGCCTTTATGTTTTGTTCATAGGAATCCATATAGTATAAGACTTCATGAATATTAGGAACCGCAGCTTATTACACCAGATGGCAAACACCATAGCACTAAATAGGGGTTAGGTTAGGTTAAGTGATGTAGGGTTAGGTTAGGATAGATAGGGTTAGGTTAGATTAAGTAAGGTTAGGTTAGACTGGGTTAAGTTAGGTTAAATTAAGTAAGGTTAGATTAGATTGAATTAAGGTTAGGTTAGGTTAGGTAAAGTTAGATTTGGTTAGGTTAGCATTATGGTGTTGAATCATTAGGTGATATAAACTGGGGGTTCCTAATCTTCATAAGAGCCAAATAATCCTCCCTACCTTCTTGCTGTACAATACCTTAAGAGAGATACATTTATCTAAGCATTACTGTCTGTTAAAAAGGGGCTAATACAGTCATGCTCAGTTTTATGGTTTCACATGATGATTAGCCATCCCAGCTTTTTTTATCTAGTGATTAAATACCCTAGTGCTACTTAGGTTAGGTTAAGTTAGGTTAGGTTAGCAGCTTAGTATTAATCTTGAATTGAAATAAAGTGGGGGCTAATCTTCATTGTGTTCCGTTTCTTGTTATTCTTTTAATATTTTGATCATGTTTTAAATATTAATTAACTTTGGGGGATATTTCTCTTAATTTAATTTTAGAGTTGGAGTATTTATCATTAATTGAAGTATAGGGTGAAGCGTTGGCTTCCCTCTCAGTGTGTATGTGCATGAGCTGCTCAAGTGACGGGTGCATTTGTATCAGTCTCCCCAGCAGCGCCTTCATATATTCCGTTTTCTTTCGCTTTTGATCTGTTTCCGTTGAGAATGTTGCCGGAAGATCATAATTTTCAGAGGAGAATGAGTCAATATTTTGGAGAATATCTTGGCCTATCCCCACTCCCTCCAGCACTTCTCTTCTTCTCCGTCCACGTGATAGTATCGGTCCTACAGCAGCTATCCCAACCACCGTCATCACGATAGCCATGGAGCAACTCGGACTACTTAAACATCCACCACTTTCATTTTTTTTCTTTTTCTTCTTCTTTGGTGGTTTCTTCACTGTGTCTGCTTCTTCTTCGTCATCTTGATCTTCTTCCACATCAGAGGCGGCGGAGAAGATGTTAGGGTAGGGGGCAGTGTCGACGAATTGGAGCGGCTTGAGGTTAATGGGAGGAACGAGAGGGTTTATGAGGGCAATGTCAGGTGGGGATGGTGGTGATGGTGCTGACCAATCTGACGGAGCTGACTGTGCTGACCAATCTGACTGTGCTGACCAATCTGACGGAGCTGACTGTGCTGACCAATCTGACGGTGCTGACCATTCTGACGGATATAACCATTCTAAGGGAGTAGTGTTGTCGTGATCTTCATAGTCAGGCTCTAAATTAGTATCATTAAACAGCCCCTTAATAAATGCTTCATAAAGGTTGACTTTAGGCTGGTAGGAGTGTATCAGGCGGACTGTTTCCTCCTCTTCTGCCAACCTCCTGGAAATGTCTCTTCGTTTTCGTCCAAATCCCGGTACCACGAGAGGCACTGCCATAGCGCCTGTAGCACCCATCGCAACAGTCAGTGCCAACCCAATTGCGCACCACTTATTGCCCATGCAGCTGTCTAAACTACTACTGTCAGGCTTAGGCGTCTCCTTAATTACATCCTGAAATTTTGTCTTCAGAGGTTGTAGGCCTGGCGATGTCGTGGAGGTGGATTTTATATAAGGTGTAGGCGTTGGGGAGGGGCTAGAGTGTGTTGGTGACGGTCTGGAACGAGTTGGGGAGGAGCTGGAACGAGTTGGAGAGGGTCTGGAACGAGTTGGGGAGGAGCTGGAACGAGTTGGAGAGGGTCTGGAACGAGTTGGGGAGGAGCTGGAACGAGTTGGAGAGGGTCTGGAACGAGTTGGGGAGGAGCTGGAACGAGTTGGAGAGGGTCTGGAACGAGTTGGGGAGGAGCTGGAACGAGTTGGAGAGGGTCTGGAACGAGTTGGGGAGGAGCTGGAACGAGTTGGTCTGGGGAGAGAGTGTGCTGGAGAGGGTCTAGGGGGGAGGGGCTAGAGTGTGTTGGGGAGGGGCTAGAGTGTGTTGGGGAGGGGCTAGAGTGTGTTGGGGAGGGGCTAGAGTGCATCAAGAAGGAGCTGAAATATGTTGGGGAGGGTGTGTAGTCACTAGGGCTGGGACTGTAGTCACTAGGGCTGGGACTGTAGTCACTAGGGCTGGGACTGTAGTCAGATGTGTCAGGTGAGAGGAAGGGCCCCAGGTGTTGCTTGAGGGCATCTTGCAGGTTAATGAGTGGCGGGGGGAGAATATCATCATTTGTACCTTCCATCAACTCAACTAAATTTTGGTATGATATGTTGGTGTTGTCTGTACTTTCACCTGCCAGGGGATCATATATGGATGGATGGACGTACTGGTGTGTGTCGTCAGGACTAACACCACTGTCGAAGTAATTCATGTTTGAGGTATCGACGTACAGGGTGTCGTTGTATTTAGGAATGCCACTGTAAAACCACGCTTGGTTCCTGATAATGTTCTTTATCTGGTGTTCAATGTCTGGTCTGAGTGGTAGGAGAGGTGTGGCGGGGATGGATAAGAGAGAGTCATGGTGATATCTCAGCTGCCCGTCACCCAGTTCAAGGGCATGTAACAGTTGTGGGTCAATTGCTCCTATAGACTGTAACACTAATGACTGTATAACTCCTGAAATTCTGGGATCGTTAATATCTATACCGGCGAAGAGATTATTAAACGAGGGTAGTTGTTGAAGTTGCTGCCACACTGCGCTGCTCACGTTGTATAAGTCGTCGTCAATATAAGGTATTTCATCCCCATACATCGGCTGGAATATTGGCGGCGGATACACAAGTGACTGGTCGTCGATGACACCACTGGCACTCATGTCCGCAATCTGTGTTGTGTCACCAAGTAAAGGGTTGTGGCTCTCCAGAGATACGAAGCTGTCGGGGTTTTTGTTTTCGAAATTACTACTAACAATCAGGGGGTAGCTGTCCAGGGCGTCGTTACCCACACCGCCGAAAATATGTGGTGGTTCTTGCTGTAGTGGCCTGGTGGTGGGCTCCGCGTAGGTGTTGCTGTTATGTTGAAGACTGACGGGCACTCCTAGAAGAGCAGGGTTACCAACACCTCCAAAAGGTTTAGGTGTTGAAGTGGTTGTGCCAGTGGATGTGCTGGAGGATCGGTGTTTATAAATAGGGCGGGGGAGATTGTCTTGGTAAGGAGTTTGATAATCTTGTGTATTAGGTTCTTCCTGGTTGTTAATAATTTGCCAGTTATAAACAACATTATCAGTCGCTCCTGAAGATGTTTCTTGAGAGATGACAAAGGGGGTCGTATCACTGTAAGGGTCAGTGACACCAGTTCTTTTGGTTAAAGATGGTAAAGGTGTTGTAAGGAATGAGTGGGTGTAAAGTGGAGCAGCCTTGGTAGCACCACTAATCACATCATTGAGGGTGTTATAAGAGTCAGACTCATCTGCTGAGACAACAGGGTGACGGGTAGGTGAAGGGAGGGGAATCTGGCCACTATGTGTGGGTAGTTGTGTAGCCAGACCAACCACAGTCTCTTTATTGTCTTCATGACTGACCAAGGTGTTATGTACAGACGCTGACTGTGTATCTATGTAGGAAAGACTTTGCAGGATCTCTTTTGTGAAGTCCCTGAAGAGATCAGTATTTTTTTGTGCAACTTGAACACTGGGAGTCTGAGTGAGAGTCTCTAGAACCTGAGAAGTAGTGTGGAGTGTGACTGGTGGACTGCTATGACCAACCAGATGACCAGACGGACTCGCTGTCACTTGGGGGGGACTGGACGAGAATCCTGCCAGCAGTGATGATGGAACTACCTGAAGGGGAAGTGGGTACTGCTGGAGGCTTAGTGGTTTTAACCATAGTTCTTGTGCAGCTGGTAATGAAGTTGGTTGTACTACCGAGTGAACTGGTGATGAATTCGGATATTTAGATAAGATTGGATAGATAAATGGATTTGGGTGAAGACGCGATGGTGTAGGCTGCTGTGATGTTACTGTTTGTTGCAGTAATGACGGCGTTGACTGAGGTGGCTCCAAGTCTTGTTCCAGTGACGATGGAGACGGGAGAAGGGATGGGCTCAACAATGTGTCATTAGAGGCAACATTCTGAAGATACTTAATATAGGCGTCGAAGTCAGTGATGGGAGGTGGACGAAGTATGTCAACATGGCCGCTGTCTGCTGCTACGCTAAATGGTAATGGTTGATTGAAATCTTGGATGGAAACGTTTTGTTGCGCTGGGTATGGGTGGTGTTGGTGACTCACTTGTGCGTGTTGCAAAGTATGTTGTGGTTGTAGAGGCTGATATGGTTGTTTCAAAGTCTGGTGTGGTTGTTGCAGAGTATGTTGTGGTTGTTGCAGAGTATGGTGTGGTTGTAGAGGCTGATGTGGTTGTTGCAAAGTCTGGTGTGGTTGTTGCAGAGTATGATGTGGCTGTTGCAGAGAATGGTGTGGCTGTTGCAGAGAATGTTGTGGCTGTTGCAAAGTATGTTGTGGTTGTAGAGTCTGATGTGGTTGTTGCAAAGTCTGTTGTGGTTGTTGTAAAGAATGTTGTGGTTGTTGTAGAGTTTGATGTGGTTGTTGAAGAGAATGGTGTGGCTGTTGCAGAGAATGGTATGGCTGTTGCAGAGTATGTTGTGGTTGTAGCGGCTGATGAGGTTGTTTCAAAGTCTGTTGTGGTTGTTGCAAAAGTTGTTGTGGTTGGTGCAGAGGCTGTTGTGGTTGTTGTAGAATATATTGTGGTTGTTGAAGAGAATATTGTGGTTGCTGGTAAGTATATTGTGGTTGTTGCAATGTATGTTGTGGTTGTTGTAGGGTCTGTTGAGATTGATGATGAGTATATTGTGGTTGTTGCAGAGTTTGTTGCTGTGGTGGCTGAGTCTTTTCTGGTTGCTGTAGTTGTTGCAGGGTGTTTTGCGGTTGTTTCAGAATTTGTGATTGGGGTAAAGTCTGTTGTGATTGTTGTTGTTGACTGTCTTGCGGTTGTTGATGAGTCTGTTGTGGTTGTTGGAGAGTGTGTTGTGGTTGTTGGAGAGTGTGTTGTGGTTGTTGGGGAGTGTGTTGTGGTTGTTGGAGAGTGTGTTGTGGTTGTTGACTTTGTTGTGGTTGTTGTAGAGTGTGTTGTGGTTGTTGGAAAGTGTGTTGTGGTTGTTGGAGAGTGTGTTGTGGTTGTTGACTTTGTTGTGGTTGTTGTAGAGTGTGTTGTGGTTGTTGGGGAGTGTGTTGTGGTTGTTGGAGAGTGTGTTGTGGTTGTTGACTTTGTTGTGGTTGTTGTAGAGTGTGTTGTGGTTGTTGGAGAGTGTATTGTGGTTGTTGTAGAGTGTGTTGTGGTTGTTGGAGAGTGTGTTGTGGTTGTTGACTTTGTTGTGGTTGTAGAGTGTGTTGTGGTTGTTGGAGAGTGTGTTGTGGTTGTTGGAGAGTGTGTTGTGGTTGTTGACTTTGTTGTGGTTGTAGAGTGTGTTGTGGTTCTTGACTTTGTTGTGGTTGTTTCAATTGTTGGGGAGTATGTTGTGGTTGTTGACTTTGTTGTGGTTGTAGAGTGTGTTGTGGTTGTTGTAGAGTGTGTTGTGGTTGTTGTAGAGTGTGTTGTGGTTCTTGACTTTGTTGTTGTTGTTTCAATTGTTGGGGAGTATGTTGTGGTTGTTGGAGAGTGTGTTGTGGTTGTTTCAATTGTTGGGGAGTGTGTTGGGGTTGTTTCGGTTGTAGGAGAGTATATTGTTGTTGAGGATGGTGGAGCGGCTTCTGATCACTTGTTGTTAGTGGTTGAGGAGCGTCGTTCAGATGTGGTGGCCACTCTTGTGTTCCTCCAGATGACTTGTCTTCCTCCAGAATGTTGACCATGAGAGCCTGTAACTCCTCAGTAGCAAGTGGGTGGAGTGGAGGCACATGTTGGTGGACTTGGTGGGTCTCACTGAGTGGCTGGATCGTGGTGGTTGTATGCGGTTGGTTGTATGGCCCCGCTGGCTTTGTCTTGTGTTGGGGACTGGACGTCTGTGACCCTGATGGTGAGGACAGCTGTGACCCTGATGGTGAGGACAGCTGTGAACCCGATGGTGAGGACAGCTGTGACCCTGATGGTGAGGACAGCTGTGACCCTGATGGTGAGGACAGCTGTGACTCCGATGATGAGGACAGCTGTGACCCCAAAGATAAAGACAACTCTGACCCCGATGATGACAGCTGTGACCCCGATGATGAGGACGGCTGTGACCCCGATGGTGACAGCTGTGCTAAGAGACTCTGAGCAACGTCCTCGTCAATCTCAGCTGTCATGGAGATAGGTGTGAGAGGCGACGCACCGTGAGGGACGCCGGGGTGTGTAAAGGTTGAGGAAGGGACTTGCTTGGTGGCCACGAGAGTCAACTGGCCATCTTTAAAGTCCCACACCTTCACTACCACCTGAGGGATGCCCGGGTCTGACCAGTCTTGTGGAGGGTCACCTGGTCGGCTGTCAGGAGGTCGGGTGTTGGATGGTCTACTGTTGGAAGGTCGGCTGTCGGGAAGTTCGTTGTCGGAAGGTCGGCTGTCGGTAAGTTCGGTGTTAGGTGGTCTGCTGTTGGAAGGTCGGTTGTCGGAAGGTCGGCTGTTGGAAGGTCGGCTTTCGGAAAGTTCGCTGTTGAGAGGTTGGCTGTTGGTAGGTCGGGTGTTGGAAGTCGATATGTTCGCTGGGAGATCTGTAACATGTAACATATCGTCACATATCTGTCTTGAATCCACATAAATATTTGTAATGAAATAAATAAAGTAAGCAAACTCCTCTCTTGAATATTAATAAAAACATGACTATATAAATAACTTTATTTTATGTTAATTAACTTCATTAAATTTCTTTATATTATTGCAATTTTTTATTTAATTATTAAAGGGATTACCTGAAGATTAACCACCCTAGTGTGATGTGGAGGATTAGGTTAGGTTAAAGTAGATTAGGTTAGGTTAGGATAAGTTCGGTTAGGTTAGGTTAGCGTTAGGATGGTTAATTTTAAGATCAAATAAACTAGGGAGCTAATAATCAGGTAATAACAAGTTTTATTGATTATATAATTAATAAACCACCAATACTTTATCACATACGTCCTACAACACCGTTTATGAAGGTCGCCATGACGGGATACACACACAACTCAGCGACCAGAAGGAAACTTATTTGCAATCAGAATTAGTAAGCCACACTAGTTTACTCAATTGGCGGAGTAAACTGTTATTATGTTAGTAAGCCAAACAGGTTTAGTCAAATGGCAGGAAAGACTTTTGTTATTATAGTTGTTAATAAGACCCAAATTAGTTAGTTGGTGTGTTAAGTGGTGTTAGTTAGTTTAGTCAGGTGGTAAAGAAGAGAGCGTTTATTGTCCGCATTAGTACTAGTTAAGCGGGTTTAGTCAGTAAGCAGTGGGTGATAGTTTGGTCAATTTAGTAAGCAAGAGGAGATATTTTTTTAGATGTTAGGTTATGTTAGGTTAGTTTTATAAGCTGCTGGGAGGTGGGAAATTCACGTGGTGTTAATATTTTGATTTACGGGTGAAAGATGTTTAGGGAAATTTTAGAGGTATTTTAATTGGAGAATATGATTGACGGTGGACACACATGGTTTAGTGGTGAGGATAACGAGGGTGAAGGTGTACTTACGGTGTGCCATGCGTGTTAGAGTTATACTGTAATGTGGGGGTGTTTACTTGTGGTGGGGATGGTGGAGCTCATTCAATTTACGTGGAATGTGACTGCCGTAGCTGCACAGTCAGGCCAACAGCTGCACAGTCAGACAACAGCTGCACAGTCAGACAACAGCTGCACAGTCAGTCAACAGCTACACAGTCAGACAACAGCTGCACAGTCAGACAGCAGCTGCACAGTCAGACAACAGCTGCACAGTCAGACAGCAGCAGTCTGCACAGTCAGACAGCAGCTGCACAGTCAGACAGCAGCTGCACAGTCAGACAACAGCTGCACAGTCAGTCAACAGCTACACAGTCAGACAACAGCTGCACAGTCAGACAGCAGCTGCACAGTCAGACAACAGCTGCACAGTCAGACAGCAGCTACACAGTCAGACAACAGCTGCACAGTCAGACAGCAGCTGCACAGTCAGACAACAGCTGCACAGTCAGACAGCAGCTACACAGTCAGACAACAGCTGCACAGTCAGACAGCAGCTGCACAGTCAGACAGCAGCTGCACAGTCAGACAACAGCTGCACAGTCAGACAACAGCTACACAGTCAGACCAACAGTGAGGTGGATAACACGTGGCATCATAAGACACATGCACGTCTTGTTTGACACGTGTCAGAGTGGCCATGCCATGCACGTGTCCCGTCACACCAGGGTCTTACCTAGCTTGACCGCCGCCCTCCGCTACACCCAGGCTGGCTCCACCCACTGGGACAACCTTACTGGTCTTGGTGTCTCACAGATATTATTATATTATGATAAATTGATCATCCAAACATAATTTTACCTGGATAACGTTACCAATATGTTTTAGTTTATCACAGTTAAGTAGTACAAGATCTGATGAGTTTGTTAAGGGACATTATTGTAATCAGGGATTTTGTTGAAGAATATATCTGTTTAAGGAAGAAATTACCAACACGTGGCCTGGGTTATTCTGACATACAAGGACACATTAACACTTTACCTAAAAAAAGAAAAGAGAGATTGAAAATAGTTTTGATCAGTTAAGTTTATTAAACAATAACTATACAAATAAATATGATTAATTTACACAACGTCTTAATATTTACCAAAGAATGTATTTACAACTGAAAACACAAAGCAGAGAGGAAATAGGGTATCACAACAACAACAACCACATCACTGACGCACGCCCTTAAGCTCACCGTGGGCGGGTCACTCGTTGGTAGGCCCCAGAGTATTGCTATGTATACGTTATTTATGATAGATATTTGTGCTTTGTGTATTTTCAGTAATGCTTTTTTAATGTTACAGTGACAAGTCTCTCTCTCTCTCTCTCTCTCTCTCTCTCTCTCTCTCTCTCTCTCTCTCTCTCTCGCTCGATGTATTCTTAATAAATAATGGATATATTAGCGACACTCCTTGGCCACCCTGTGTATCACGTAGTATAGTTATAGTGTTTGATGTGAAGGTCCCATAGTATTTGGCTGTACACGAGTCACCTTAACAGTGTGTGTGTGTGTGTGTGTGTGTGTGTGTGTGTGTGTGTGTGTGTGTTCTGGTTAAAGAAATTAACTTTATACCTTCAGAATATATTGCGTGATTATTTATCTTCAGTGTATTAAAAAACACCAACTAATGTCTTCTCTTTATTCCTTGTATTCAATTTGTGTTTAAACCCCAGTGAAATTGATAAAGAATGGGATCACATAAAGATTAGGCCCCCTTCATGTTTATTTCACCTGATGATTAAACACCCTAAATTGTGGGGGGGGGGGAGGTTAGGTTAGGGTAGGTTAGCGTTAGGGTGATTAGGTTAAGTTAGATTAGATTAGCGTTAGGTGTGGTTAATCTTAAAGTGAAATAAGATGGATTAGCGCTAATCTTCACGTGATCCGAAGACTGTATAAGACAAGAGGATTATTTAGTGCTGATAACCAGTCGATGATTCACTTCATTGTTGCAACACATTCTCTCTTCTACTGGTGAGAGGACGAGGTGTTTCAAGATCCTCGGCTGTGTTACTATTTCTTAAGTCTTCTTTTGTGTTTCCTGAATGTGTTACCTTCTTGTCTCCTTCCCTCGTGTGTGTTGTAGCAGTACCCAGAAGTATCCTTAGTGCTCTCTGCATCAGGTAAATGACTTCATCTTTAGTCAATGTTTTTAATGTGTTCTCAAGTTCCTCAATCTTTTTCTTGGTGGTCTTTTGTTGTGCGACTTGAGATAGATTAGTTCCAGGACTGATGTTGGCAATGTCCGAGATGAAAGAGTAAGCCACTGTGAAAACGTCTCTAGAACTCTCTGTTGTTGAATTCGAAGATGTGGTCAAGTTTTTCAACCATATTTCAATTTGTTTTTCATCGGCCATCACCTTTTTGGAAGTATTTATCAAGGAGGAGAGGTAGTGTAGGTGGCGGCGGCGGCGTCCTATTAGTGCAGGAACCAAGAAGGGTAGAGCGATGGCTTTGGATATTCCCAGAGCGAGTAAAGCAGCGATACCCAGAGCACACGTGTTGTCCGACAAACAGGTCTGTACGTTAGTGACGGTCGCTGTGGCAGGTACTGGAACGATGGCGGCCACTGGAGCAATGACGGCAGGCGCAGGAGTGATTGTCTCATCATTATTGGGAAGATCATCGAATACAACACTAGACAAGGCTGGGTGGTAAGGGTAAGAGGGGTTGAAGACGCCCTGGTCTAGATTAGTTGGCTGCTGAAGGGGAAGAGTAGACTGGAGGAACTCGTAGTAGTTATTTATGGACTGGTCAACAGTTGGAGGTTCAGAAGGTGGCGGCTGATTAAAACCCAGCATTTGGAATGACTGTTGACTGGAAAAAATGGATGGGTTAAGCACAGGTGAGATGGGAATGTCCACATGTTCAGGTAACGTTGAGAATAAATGAGCCAATTTGACCTGATCAATTTGGCTCGAGAAGACTGTCTGGTCCAGCAGTGATGGGGGAGAATGTGCTTGACTGGCCGAGGGGCGAATTATGTATCTCACCTGATCAGTGGATGGTCGGAGTTCAGAGTCCTCTTGGTTGGATGGTCGGTGTGGATAGTTCACCTGGCTGGCTAGTGGAAGGCGTTGGTAGTTCTCCTGATTGGCTAGTGGAAGACGTTGGTAGTTCTCCTGATTGGCTAGTGGAAGACGTTGATAATTCACTTGATTGGCTGGTCGAAGACGTTGATTGTTCCCCTGATTGGCTGGTGGAAGACTTTGATAACTCCCCTGATTGGCTGGTGGAAGTCGTTGATAGTTCCCCTGATTGGCTGGTGGAAGACGTTGATAGTTCCCCTGATTGGCTGGTGGAAGACTTTGATAACTCCCCTGATTGGCTGGTGGAAGACTTTGATAACTCCCCTGATTGGCTGGTGGAAGACGTTGATAGTTCCCCTGATTGGCTGGTGGAAGACTTTGATAACTCCCCTGATTGGCTGGTGGAAGACGTTGATAGTTCCCGTGATTGGCTGGTGGAAGTCGTTGATAGTTCCCCTGGTTATTAGATAACGGGCGGGGATAGTTTACCTGGGAAGTCGAAGGTGGTAATGGATAGTTCAGGTCGTTGGTCGAGGGTGGGCGTAGATACCCCCCGTGGCTGTTAGACTGTATGTGTGGATAGTTAGCCTCGTTTGTAGACGATGTGATTGGATACTTTACCTGGTTGGTCGAGGGTGGTAACGGATAGTTCAGGTCGTTGGTCGAGGGTGGTAATGGATAGTTCAGGTAGTTGGTCGAGGGTGGTAACGGATAGTTCAGGTCGTTGGTCGAGAATGGTAACGGATAGTTCAGGTCGTTGGTCGAGGGTAGTAACGGGTAGTTCAGGTCGTTGAAGGGTGGTAATGGATAGTTCACTGGGTTGGACAAGGGTGTGAGTGAACTGGCGTGCTGATTGGTGGAAGGTAAACGTTGGTCGTTATTCAAATAATCTGGGTAACTTACGTCATACACAGAGGAGGTTGTGTAATTGGGTGGCTGGAGTGTTGTGGCCTCAGGTGTGACGTCATCATTGTCAAAACCTGGCGGGTAGTAAGTCGAATCATCCAGAAGGTCAGATATGAGGGTCAGGTACCCTGGTTTTGGCCGGTTTGATCTCTTCACCACCTGGTTGAAGGCTGGTTGCTTACCGTAGTTACCAGAGGCGGAATTTTGCGCCGCGTAGTTGTTGTGGTTAATGAAACCTTGATTACCCAGATGGCCAGAGAAGGTGTTGGTGCCGGTGATGGTAGCGAGGCGACTTTGGAGCTGTTCCTTGCGGAGTGTGTTGTGGGAGGGTAGAGAGCCCAGGACACTCTTCAGGTTAACGGGGTTGTTTATAGGGTGTTCTGTGGGATGAAGAGGACTGATGTTAGGAAGGTCTTGAGGCAGAAGCTCTAAGATAGACCCTCGGTGTTCATTAGGCACATTAGGCTGCGGCAGAGGCTGAAGAACGCCATCACCCACCTGTGCATAAGCCGGATACTCAAACGCGTTGCTTTGTACACCTCCATTACCACTGTAGCTGTATGGCCTTTCTGCACTCAGTACATCACCCACGTGTGCTTGGATGGTCGGGTCAGGGTTCGGTGAGTTCTCTATCCGGTCAGCAAAGTTAGAGAGAACATGTAGATAAGTAAGGTCATCTTCCTCCAGGGTTGTCCCGATGGAGAAAGGCAGGTTGTTGTGGTCAGGGTTACCAATACCCCCGTAGTACTGTCTTCTTGGTGGGGAGTCAGGGTCAGGCCGGGTCCTAGTTTGGTCATAATGTGTGGATGAAGCGTAAGTTTGGTCAGGTGTGGGTGAGAAATGAGTTTGGTCAGGTGTGGGTGAGAAATGAGTTTGGTCAGGTGTGGGTGAGAAATTTGTAAGATATGAGGGATAACTCATATGAATATTATCACTGCCAACACCTCCAACCTCGTGTGGTGGTGGTGGTGGTGGTGATGTTCGGCGTGAGACTATTAATGGTAAGGTTTGCTGTGGTGGTGGTGGTGGCAGCGAAAGTGATGGTGGTTGTGGTTGTGATGGTGGAGGTTGTGGTTGTAGTTGTGGTAGTGGTGGTACTTGTGTTTTATAAAAAGTAGATTCTTCCGTGACCTCATAAGAATGATTTTGAGTTTGTGAGTCTACGGTGGTGGATGTGTGAGCTGTGTGTGAGAGAGGTGGTCCTTGAGCTGTGTGTGAGAGAGGTGGTTCTTGAGCTGTGTGTGAGAGAGGTGGTTCTTGAGCTGTGTGTGAGAGAGGTGGTCCTTGAGCTGTGTTTGAGAGAGGTGGTCCTTGAGCTGTGTGTGAGTTAGGTGGTCCTTGAGCAGTTGTCTGAGGCAGGATGAAGTGAATGACCAAAGGTTCCGCCTCGCTGTTAACCTTGCCCTCGAGTGCCTGCAGCAATTCTGCTGTTCTTTTGCTGCGTCGCTGTATTGAACCGAGAGAAACTGAAGACTTCTTTGGCCTGTTCACGGTAAACCTTGATTGTCTTGAGTTACCGAAATGAAGTTGTTCCTTCAAGGTCGGATGATGTGATTTTCCAGTATTGTGTGTGTGTAAGACAGGTCGACCAACATCAAAATCAAACAGTTTCTTCAATTTCCTTCTATTTTTGACGTGTTCTCCTCTGGTAGTGTACATAAGCTGCTGGGAATTAGGCGAAGGGTGGAATGTGTTAGTTTTTGTCATTGGTTGAGAGTTCCTGGCAGGTAAGGAGCCCGAGACAGTATTCTTGAGAGATTGGTATAAGCCGCCTAGGTCGATGTCATCATCCAGTGAGCCTTGAAGGTGGTGTTCCTGGTGGTGGGATGGTAGAGATCGTGTGGCGCGGGGTGGGTGGTAGAGGGCGGGGTCTAGGTACGGGTAGTTATTCATCTTGGAGGCCAACGACGCCAGGACTCGAGGTGGTAGGTCTTGAGGGTTGACCACAGCACCGTTAGCGATGGAGGAGTTGGTGAACATACTGACGGGCACCGGCTGTTCCCCCACTAACTGCAGCTGCCCGTCCACCATGTTCCAGATTTTGACCAAGACGAACTGAGCGTGAGGGTGTGTAGGATGATCCTCTGTGTTAAAATGACTCCCTTGTTCTCGGTGGTGTCCGGTGCCTCCAGAGTCTGCAAATTGAACAGAAGTGTCGTCAGGGTGTTGGGTAAAGTGGCTAGTAACTGCAGATGTGAAATGAATTGTTGGGTCAGTAACAGTGAAGGAAGACACCGCGTTACTCGATGGTGTTGCTAGTGTCACGTGAGACTGGTCATTAGGTTGTAAACTTTGAATCCCATGCATATTTGTTGTCCTGATATCAGCCGCCCCAACTTGTACTGCTGGAGGAGGTGAAGTGCTGCTGAAGACGGCCGTGTGCTCAGGTGTGTTGTATGGTCTGGCTGTGTCCTGGTCAGTAGTAACAGAAGAAGGTCTGTAGTCAGGTGTTCGAGTGTGACGGACGGCAGATAGAGGAGGAGGAGGAGGTCTGTGGTATGGTCTCAGAATGCTAGAGAAGACAGGAGGAGGGGAGAAGGAGAGAGGTGTGAGGGAGGCGTGACGGTCCAAGTTAAAAGTTAGTGATACGTTGGGAAGTGTCACCTTATCCTGGTCATTAATTAAGGGTGATGAGGGTCTTGTGTGAGGCGTCAAGCTGGGTGATGATGGGGGTGGCGAAAAACATTCTGGTTCGTGGGGAATAATTTTATCAGGGTTTAAGGGTAAAGAATCTACCTTGAGCGGCTCATTACCGGGTCTAGCTGTTAGACCATCACCTGTCTGGCTATCTTTTTCGGTATTAATTAAACTATGTTGTGGAATGTTTGTTGATAGAGATAAGTTGGGGTTTTCATCAACTTGTGTTAACACTTCCTGAAATACAGTATAATCGGACGCATTCACACGCTGGTATTTAAGAGCCACGTGAGGCAGGTATACTGAAGGGGGTCTACCAGAGGCACCAAGTGTGGGCCAGCCATCCACACTGACACTCCCCCCAACAGCTTCTTCGGGGAGGTGAAGCTCTGCACTGTACTTGTCTGTGCTAATGTGTGAACTCTCATAGTGTGGCCAAGTTTCACTTGTAAAGTTACCGACATTTAAGTTGTTTTTCTCGTAAAAAATTCTTCTGTTAGGCTGATCAAAGTGATTATCATTATCAGTAGTAGGAAGGAAGGCGTCATCGTGCCAGTGTGAGTTAGAATCACTTATTTTATACTCAATATTACCAGAGTTGAGTAAGCTTGTTTGATTCACCGGCTTATTATTAGTTGTTAGGCCAACGTTTTGACTTATATAATTAGACTGTTGAGGCCTGAGAGGGTTAAGAGAGGCGAACGTGTTAAAATGTGACTCTGGTAGTTTACCTTGACCTTGTGATCCCGGACGACCCAGCACCCCGCCCTTATTGACTGGTGACGTGTACACTACAGGCGGCCGACGTGTGGTGGAGGTGGACGTGCCTGCCGTGGCAACATAATCAGTGTGTAAGAAGCCCGTGTTGAAAACGTTCATGTTAGGTGGTTGATAAACAGGAAGGAGATTTAACTTCTCTAGCTCAGAAGGAATGACTTGAGGGTCTTTGTAATTTGGATATAGTAGAGCGCTTAGATTAAAGATGTTCTGATTTACCTTAATATTTCCTAACTTACTGTCATTGGGGAGATGCAGCAAAGAGTCATCGGGTGTGTGGGTGACGGTCTCAGGGGAACCTTCTGCACTGAAGGAGGCGAGTGTGGGGGGAGGCGAGGTCAGCTGGGTTGCCTCCGCCACTCTCACAGCCACAGCAGGAGGGTCTCGCTCCCCCGGGTTGTATTCATCCTCGTTGTTACTGTACATTGTGTCATGGTAGATGTAATAGTCATGGGTCTCTTCAGTATACGACTGACTATGTGATGAGTAATAGTAATAATCGTCATAGTTAGGGAAGTCGTCGGCTGAGGGAAGGGAGGAGGAAAAGCTTGAGATAAACGACTCCATTAAGGAGGATGATGTGTTGTGTTGTGAGACTTGAGAGTGTGTGTGAGGTGTTGTTTGAGACGGTAAGCCATAATCAGAGTTAGAGTTTTGAGGAATAAGATTTTCATTGTCTAGTCCAGGTATCCGTAATAAATGAGCTTCGTCAGGTACAGGGGTTTTAGAAGTAGGGGTGATAGTATAGGGCCAAGTGAGAGTCTGAAGGCCGGGAAATTTAGACGGGGCACCAAGCGTATGTGGACGACCATCATCTATCTCTTCCTCATGCCCGTCCCCAAGAATACCATAGGCAGCATAGTACTCACTCAGGTCGTCCTCATAGAAGTCGTATTCAAATTCGGGGGTAGCATTACCTTCTTGGGTCAGAGGTAAGTTGGTAGTGGGTACTGTTTCGCCGCTCTGGATTCCCTCCACTTTGGTGTATGGTTCTTCATGGACTTGTACACTCGTCAGCGGCGGCAAGCTGGTTAAGTCAGGGAATTTAAAGTCGTCATCTAAAGCTTCTGGAGCAGCTGGTCTTGATGTAGTTGTTGGAGTCGTGGAGTCAGAGTTACCGTGTGTGAGTCGCTGTGGGGAAACATCTGGTCCTGGTGAAGAGGTGAACGTGATGCTGGAATGGTTCGGTCTCTTCGTCTCTCCGTTTTGTGAGTTACTGTGTAAGAAATCACTTACTGGTACTGTCTCTGTGAAGTGCTGCTCAAAGAGATTCTCAGTATTTGGCTCCTCGATCACTTGTACCGGAGAATAAACCTCAAACACACTGTCAGGCTTCTTAGTGATGGTATTTAGCTGTGGTAGAGACGGCTTGTTCTGTCTGATGAATTCTCCCATAGCTTCCTTGATCAGTTGTTGGTCTAAGTCGTCTACAGCTATCACTGATGTGGGTCGAGGTGAGGCCGTGGGTATATCATATAGATACGTAACAACAGGTTTGGAGTTTATACTTTCTTGTTGGGAATGAACAGTTGTAAGTTGGTCTTCCTCAGTAGTAGTCATTAGGCTGCCTTGAGGAAAGTTTGGTCTTTGAGGAGGGGTCTCAAATGGTCTCAGATATGACTGTAGTGGTCTGGATTGTGTAGTCGGCCTTGAGAACTTATGTTGTAGTGTCAAGGCAGATGAGGTAAAATAAGGTGTAGTTGTTGTCGAGACTTTGCCGGGAATCTTGAAGGTTGGCCGGGGTGTTGAGGATGACTTGGTTGGTGTTCTCGTCAGTGATTCAAATACAGGAGTTATTATATCTCTCTGGGGAGCTGTAGACAAGGTTGTGGCAGGTGTTGTGAACCAGTACGTTGGTCTAGTGAAGGATGTTATTGGTGGTGATGTAGTGGTGAATGATGGATTACTAGAAATTCGTGTGGTGGTGTGTGGTGCTATGTATGTTGGCCTCCACGTCGACACAGATCCAGTGCCTGGGCTGGTGTGTGGTGGCTCAGCTGATGGTGTAACTGTGCTTTTAGGTCGTAAATAGACGGAAGGAGGTCTTGTGAATGCATAATTAGTGTTTGAATAGGGTTTAGTGACCCAAGAATACTCGGTGGTTGTAGGAGGAGGAAGGGGTCTAGTTGTTGTAGTGGGTGTTGTGGTTGTAGGGGGAGGAGGGGGTCTAGTTGTTGTAGTGGGTGTTGTGGTTGTAGGGGGAGGAGGGGGTCTAGTTGTTGTTGGAGGCCAAGTATTTCCATGGTATCTATTTGGTAGAGAGTGCCAGGTTATTAAAGGAAGTCTTGTGGTTGTTGAGGACCTTGCAGTTGTTGAGGGCCTTGTGGTTGTTGGGGGCCTTGTAGTTGTTGGGGATCGTGTGTTGTTGGAGGCCTTGTAGTTGTTGGGGGCCCTGTGGTTGTTGGGGGCCTTGTTTAAGGGGGCCTTGGTTGTTGGGGGTATTTGGTTGTTATCTTAGATTGTTGAGGCCCTAGTTGTTGGGGGCCTTAGTTGGGGGCTTTTGTAGTTGTTGGGGCCTTGTGGTTGTTGGGGGCCTTGTGGTTGTTGGAGGCCTTGTGGTTGTTGGGGCCCTTGTGGTTGTTGGGGCCTTTGTAAATAGAGGGACCCATGGCGTTAGACTTGGTTTGGTTGTTGGATCGAGCATTATGGTTGAAGGGGATTTTGTGGTGGAAGGATGGTGCCATATAGTTGAAGTGGACCATGTAGTAAGAGGAGACTCATCTATGGTTGATGGTTGACGTGTGGTTGAAGGAATTTTGATCGTGGACCATGTGGTAAGAGAAGACTCATCTATGGTTGATGGTTGACGTGTGGATGAAGGAATCTTGATCGTGGACCATCTAGTAAGAGAAGACTCATCTATGGTTGATGGTTGACGTGTGGATGAAGGAATCTTGATCGTGGACCATCTAGTAAGAGAAGACTCATCTATGGTTGATGGTTGACGTGTGGTTGAAGGAATCTTGATCGTGGACCATGTGGTAAGAGAAGACTCATCTATGGTTGATGGTTGACGTGTGGTTGAAGGAATCTTGATCGTGGACCATGTGGTAAGAGAAGACTCATCTATGGTTGATGGTTGACGTGTGGTTGAAGGAATCTTGATCGTGGGTCTTTTGTTGGAAGGGAATCGTGTGAAGGAAGAGGGACTATGTGGCGAATGAAATGTCATAGAAGGTGGAAGCCAAGTAGAGAGTGTTGGTGTCTCCGTTGTGATATGTTCTGTTGTCAGAGGCTGGGTGGTGGTAGCGGTGATGGTAGTGGTCTTGGGGGCATATGTTGATACCCTGGTAGTAGGTCGTCTGGATGCTGATGTAGTGGTGAGGCTGGGTGATTGGTACGTAGGTTTCTGTGTACCTAGTAAAGTTGTTTCTGGTATTTCCGGTATCGTTATGTATGCCTGAGTGGTATGTGGTACTGCTGTTGATGTATCTGGAGTGGCTGTAGGTATCTGAGTGGTTGTTGTCTTAGGTTTGGTAGATACGAAGGAAAGTGAGGCTGTTGTTGAGGGTCTTTTTGAGATTGGTCTTTTGCCCGCCAGTTTACTCCCGGCAATCTTCTGGCGTATATCACTCTCGTTACTCAGAGCCCAGTCAAAGGATCCAACGTCATTATTAGCCGTAACGAATGTCAGACTATTGAAGGGCACGTATGGCTTCCGTCTTCCAATACGAGGGCCGTGGACAGCCTCTACAGCCTCACCAAAACTCTGTCTATCCTCCTCTGTCCAAGTTGCATCCTTCTTATTCCTCCACCCCTCCTGTGCCAGCCCAAAGTCACCTTGTCCCTCAGAGTCCTGGGTGCTGAGGAGGACATCACGGTGTGGCCTGAAGGAGACGGTGTAGCCAAGGTTGAGGAGAAGTAGTAGGGAGACGAAGGATCCTCTCCGCTGAATAAGTCCCATTGTGCATCAGTTCCTGTAAACAATATAACGTTGTCTTTAGTGTAATGTTCTCAAGAATATGTAAGAGTTAAGCCTCATCACAGGTAGAAACTTATGGCTACCCTTAACTTAACCTAATCCTAATCCTTCATAGGTTAGCATTAGAAAGGTTAATCGTCGGGTGAAATAAGTTAGGGTATCTAATCTTCAGGTGAACTCTTTTAGATAAGCTGTATAATGACTACTGACAGTAACCATTGATATTTTGGCCGCACGTAAAAGATTTTGCTTAAAGACGTGAGAGGCTATTAGTAGATAAGCCACAAAAGTACAAAGAAAAACACGCCAGAAAACTCAGTTAAAGTTTAATAGCGTTTTACCGGTTGTCTTGTTGTCGCCCGGAGCGTTTCATTACGTCCAACTGAGTGGGTGATGTGGAGGAGGAAGGAGGATGGAGGGGCATAGGATGACATACAACCTCGGGCCACACACACACACACACACACACACACACACACACACACACACACACACATCTGGGTAGAATTAGTTTTTGCCCGAGTTACGAGATCAGGCAGGTGGGATGGTGACGACTGAGATGCGAGTTTTTTTTTTTATCAGGTGAAAATTTGAAAGCCCAGTTTATTTCACGTGAAGATTAACCACCCTAACGCTAACCTAACCCTAGCTAACTTAATCTCACCTAATTTAACGCCAACCTAACCACTACCACCACCGCCACCTCCTACACCACAACCAAGGTATCTGACACAGGAAGCAAAAGCACCTGAGGGTTAAACAAAGTCATTACTACCAACACAACTTTCCACTATATGAAACACTTACACCACTTACACCACTTACACCACTTACACCACTTGTAAAACTGTGAACCATTGAACCTTGATACTTGTGACTGAGATGTGTTATGTGTGATGGAGATGTGTTATGTGTGACTGAGATGTGTTATGTGTGATGGAGATGTGTTATGTGTGACGGAGATGTGTTATGTGTGACGGAGATGTGTTATGGAGATACTGTTATATTTGTTCTCTTCTCTTAAGTCTCCTCGAGAAAATTTTGTACCTGAGAGAGAAAAAAATAATTGGCATCGGTCTTGTAACAGTAGAGAGAGAGAGAGAGAGAGAGAGAGAGAGAGAGAGAGAGAGAGAGAGAGAGAGAGAGATTTACCTCCCAAGTATTCTAGCTACTGCACTCAAAATTAGATCACACTCCATTTATTATCACATCAACTTAATAAAACACTAGGAAACGTTAAGTGTAATATTTGTTATGCTCTGCGGGGTTAAAGTAATATCTGTGTGTACTTTGAGTCAGTTTATGTTTCCAGCAGTGAATTAGGTCAACAGTTTGTGGTTCAACGTTAACCACAAACATATAACAAGTGGTGGTTAATGCAATTCACGTATTTTATCATCATCATCATCATCATCATCATCATCATCATCATCATCATCATCATCATCATCATCATTATTATTATTATTATTATTATTATCATTATTATTATTATTATTATTATTATCATTATTATTATTATTATTATTATTATTATTATTATTATTATTATTATTATCATTATCATTATCATTATCATTATTATTATTATTGTTATTATTATTTAATTTTATTTTCGAGGTAGGATGTGGGTTGGGATCGTGTGAGAGGAACCGTGAATTATTATTTATTTTTGTTTTGTTGTAAGTAATATTTTGGTTTACTATGTGGTTACTGGTAGCTTGTGTGGGGCAGTGAGGCGCCTTCATCTGTCTTCTGCTAAGGGGACCAGTATCTCTCTCTCTCTCTCTCTCTCTCTCTCTCTCTCTCTCTCTCTCTCACACACACACACACATACTTGTCCACTTTTACTGTACTCATGGTCACTATCACACACACTCATGGACTCCAAAACATCGTTTGTGCCTCGTTAACACTGATTCGTCCTCGCTAACATTAACTCGTCCTCGCTAACATTAACTCGTCCTCGCTAACATTAACTCGTCCTCGCTAACATTGACTCGTCCTCGCTAACATTAACTCGTCCTCGCTAACATTAACTCGTTCTCGCTAACATTAACTCGTCCTCGCTAACATTAACTCGTCCTCGCTAACATTAACTCGTCCTCGCTAACATTAACTCGTCCTCGCTAACATTAACTCGTTCTCGCTAACATTAACTCGCCCTCGCTAACATTGACTCGTCCTCGGTAACATTGACCCACAAAGTTCAACGTGTTAGAAGCATTGACCATGACCAAGGTATCTACTGTTGTGACGTCCGGTGGATGACTTGCTGTTTGACGCCCCCGTGGTTTGGTTTCTGGCAGCTTGGAAATTCCGCAGCTTCATCCACTAGTCCTGCGGTCTCTCTCAATCAAAAACCCGAAAAAACCAGAAATGGGTAGTGGGGGCAGGGGGATACATGACCTGTGTTAGATATAAAATCACATGAAAATTACTCACCCTAGTTTACTTTTGTTAGATTAGGTTATATTAGGTGAAGTTATGGGTTAGATTATGGTAGGTTAGGTTCTGTTAGGTTTGGGTAGATTAGGCTGGACTGCGTTAAGTTAGGTTAGATGTGATTAAGTTAGGTAAATGCAGTAAACAAATTCCTTTTAAAGATAATGTACTGATAATAATAATAATAATGATAATAATAATAATAATAATAATAATAATAATAATAATAATAATAATAATAATAATAATAATAATAATAATGATAATAATAATATAATCTTTGCTCTTCGGCTATATACATCAACTCAGAATCCGCCTTTACTGACCCGATTCTCAATAATATTCCCGCGTGAGGGAATTAATCTTACCACACCCAGTAACCAGTTCTTGGTGACCCCTTAAACTTGATCGTCTTACCTACAAAGTCACGTGTCTTTACGGTGTTCAATTATAGACCTGAGTGGTGACGAAAAATGGTACAGTAATGGTTTAGCCTCTTATCATACTGCACTGTACTGTGTAGTATTTGGTGACCCTCCTCCATTCCCACCCCTTCGCTATATTTATATCTATCTATCTATCTATTTATCCCCCTCTCTCTCTATGTCTATCTATCTTTCTACCAACCTCTCTCTCTCTCTCTCTCTCTCTCTCTCTCTCTCTCTCTATTTATGCTTATATATAATGCAATCAATGGTTATTCCTGGAAATATTATGGATAACGGTAAGTTGTATGCAAAAGGCTATGTTATGCTTCAATATTTACCCCCCGCCACCACCCCCCAAATCCGAGAACAATATTTTGGATCAACTCAAACACGTCTCTCTCTCTCTCAGCGGAAGGTACACATTACGGTAAACTTGGTGAGAAAATCGTTAAAGAAAATAAAAATGATTAAGATATTATCAGCGGTAATGGTGGAGTGGTGTGGCGTGTGGTGTGGTCGCGTTGACGGTCGCTGGTAAATTGGTGAAAATATCAGCTGTTTGGTTGTGCACGGCCCACTCCTCTTATTTAACACCTCCCTACCGACCCTACCTATTTATCTACCTATCTACTTATCTTTCTACCTATCTGCGTATCTTTCTTCCTACTTATTTATCTATATATCTACGTATCTTTCTACCTACTTATCTACCTACCTATTTATCACCTTATCTACCTACCTACCTACCTACCTACCTACCTACCTACCTACTACCACTGTCTCACTCACGTACTCTCCTCTGCTCCCATTTGTTCCTTCATTACAGGTTAAAAGTTGGGTAAGAAGGGAGAGTAACTATAGTGCGTTTTTTATCAGATGAGAAAAAACGCACTATAGTGTATTACAATAAACTAGAGATACGTATGTTAGACTCTCTCCCTCTCTCTCTGGTCGTAAGAATATCAAGTATCTAAAAGCTGAGGATAATGTCTTAAAAATCGTAATACCTGAAGATTCGACACTCCAGTTTATTTCACCTGAAGTTCATCCACACCTAACGCTAAAACAATCTAACCAAACCTAACCTAACCTAACCTAACGCTAAAACAATCTAACCAAACCTAACCTAACCTAACGCTAAAACAATCTAACCTAACCTAACCTAAACTCCAGGTAGCCTTAGGGTGGTTGATCATCAGGTGAAATAATCCAGGGTGTGTAATCTTCAGGTGATCCTATAAGGTAGACATATACATCATTTAAGAATATACATAAAGTAATAAACTAAATCAAATTGTTCTACATCCGAGCTTCTCAAACGTCTCCATGCGTGACCCTGTAAACATCACCAACCCTACCTTCACCACCCCAGCCATACTGTAAGATAGAGGGGGGCAGCGGTCACTATGTACAGTATAGCACTTTTAGAGGTACAGCTTTGAGTCTGTCTTGAAACTCTTAGATTTACTGAACTTTGATAATTTACCTTTTTTTTTTATTAGGGGGGGGGTGATCCTTTTCTGGGGGGAGGAGAGATGAGCATAACTGGTGATGGTAATGAGAGAACCAGATCATACGAAACTTATAGCGGACTGTTTTTATTTATTTATTTATTTACTTATTTATTTATTTATTTATTTATTTATTTATGATGCGGGAGTGTAAATATTCCAGGATTTCTTCCAGTGATTAAAACTCACCTATGTTTACAAGTAATGGGAAATAATATGAGGATTTTTGAAGAAGTAGTAGAAAAGGTGGCAAAAATAATATAAACAGGTGTACCTAATCTTCATGTGATCCTAATTTTGTAACATAAAACATACCTAAATATTGTTTAACCTCTTCTGGCTAGTCATGGCGCCATCATCCTCAAGACCGTGGTTTACAAGCTCATCATCACACTATATTGACCAGCTGACAGTGAACGTTGAGACTGATGGTGAAAAAACCAGGTGTTGTTAAGTCGTGTCTCTGTTGTACACTGGTAGTATATTTATGTGATTGTGTCGTGCAGTGTAAAACTTTTGTTGAAATGATGACGATGCAACCTCTTCACGAGAGAGAGAGAGAGAGAGAGAGAGAGATAGATAAGCAGGCTTTAACTGTCAGAGTAGATTGATGGTTGTGGTCAGTCGCTGAAGGTTCTAAATCTAAACCATTACAGTGACTCGCTAGATGCTTACGTGTTCCTCTTTATCCAGTCCTGAATTGTACACTTCCACATATTACGTCATTCGTTATGTGTATACGCTCTGGAGTTAGTTCTTGATACAAATTTCGTCATTGGTTAATACATTTTGTAGTTGTTGATAATCTTTTCGCTGTTTATTATTAGCGTGTGGAAGGGACCGTTATATGGCCATGTGAATTTATCGTTATCCATCAGCGTATTTTAATCACAGGTGAAACGTTAGATCACCTGAAGATTAGACCACATACACCTTGTTTCACCTTTAGACTAACCACTGTAAGGTTAACATAACATAACATAACATAACATAACATAACATAACATAAACATATCACCATAGCCATCCTTAACCAAATCTAATCTAACATGAACTAACCTAATAACATATCATAACTTAACCTACCCTTACAGCATAACATCAACTCGGGGGGGAGGGAGGGGAGGGGTAATCTTCAGGTGAATGTAAGTGTTTTTTTATCTATTTAACCAACAAAACTGGATTAGCTTTAGAAGTAGTCAATAACATTAAGTTTTATCCCCACACAGCGTTTATATTTACAGTATGGCGGTGTTTGAGGTGCGGGTTCTAATGGTACTGTTTGTATAGCGGTACTGTACTGCCCTGGCCGATTGTTCATTGGTCATAGCCGTCCGTAATGATTCGTATTTCTTCACAAGCGGAACAGAAGAAACTCACTGAAATGGAATATCCTGGTGTTTTTTGTGTGTGTGTTTTTTATTTGTTAGTTTTTTTGCTTGTTGGTTCGGCTGTTTGAAGGTTATGTATATAGGTTTGTTGATATGCCGCGTACATGTTTTCACGCTGGGTTGATGTGTGTGAGTACATTAGTGTGAGAGTACAATGATGTGTGTGTGTGAGTACAGTCGTGTATGTGTGTGTGAGTACAGTCGTGTATGTGTGTGTGAGTACAGTCGTGTATGTGTGTGTGAGTACAGTCGTGTATGTGTGTGTGAGTACAGTCGTGTATGTGTGTGTGTGAGTACAGTCGTGTATGTGTGTGTGAGTACAGTCGTGTATGTGTGTGTACAGTAGTGTATGTGTGTGTACAGTAGTGTATGTGTGTGTGTGTGTGTACAGTAGTGTTTGTGTGATGGAAGTAAACAGTATTGACCAATCACCAACACCCCGTTATGAGCCTCAATACTGTACACCTCCGGCCTGGACACTTGGGGGAATTTTCACACGTACTTATCTTCCTCTGTGGGTGTGGGAACTCGTGTGATTGGCTCATTTAAACCCCAAGAACAAAATGGAGTCAAAATTTCCCTCTAACTCTTCCATAACAAAGTAAAGTATATTCATCCAGCCCCATTTATCGCCTCACTGTTTCTTATACTTGGACCGGTGAGGAGAATATTCCTATATGCCGACAGGTAACATCAATACACACTCCGGGAACATCACCGTAAAGTGTACATGAGAGTTTACATGTACGACAACAAATCTAACATTAATAATAACACCAAAAAATAACATTAATATTAATAATAAAAAACACCACGACCAACAACAGTAGCAACAATAATAGCAGCAACTATAGCAAAAATAATAATAACAATAGCAATAACAACAACGGTAAACAAATATCACGTAGATAAATAACAGCTACCGAATAGTTCATGTGAGACTATGAGAAGGTTTATTTGTATATATTGTTGTAAATAAATACATTTTGATATTAAGGGAAAGTATAATGTGTAGATTGTGAGGACAGCTATGTCAAGATGTGTGTGTGTGTGTGTGTGAAACTATGGGCAAGTTTCTTTACGCCATTTGCCTCTGTCTACCCAGCAGTAATTGGGAACCCGGATGTTAATCGATTTGCGGATCGTGTTCCGGGGTAATGGTTAGTCAGTGCAGTTGGCGAGTTGTCCGGTCTTCTTGGACTATTCCTTGACATTGGGTCATGCAACTCGTTAACTCAGGGTGTGGTTGTTGTGTTGGCGACAGCTTCTACACCTTAAACAAAAATCACGTCGAGGTGGCCCTTGGGCCGGTCATCCTCGTTAACACGAGAGGCAACCATTGCTATTATTATACGTATAGTTGTATAGTTATATAACATATAATTAAGAATCACAGCAGCTTTGTTAAGTCAAATTGTTGAAGTTATCAAACACTTTGGTGAGATACCCAAGTGGAATTATTTGTAAATTGATCTTGAGAAAAGACACAAAAAAGTTGTCATCACCTCCATGAACCTTGAGTCGTAGACACTGTACTGATATAAGGTATTTTAACGTGAACGGTCCTCCTGTTGCGGTGAGTCGTGTAGTGGTAACGACTTCGATAACTGTGGAAATGATGGTGATGATCATAATAGTGATGGTGACGGCAACAGGGGTGGTGTAGGAACCTGCTCATTACACTCGTATGTTTGGTAGGCACCAACTTTCTCTCGCTCTCTGGCAGCGACGCTCTTGTACAGATGACATATATTATTACTGTCATATTTTAAATGAAGAATGTTGCCTAACCTATTGTCTTGGTGTAAGTGGTCCCATATTCATGACGGCCCGTTAGGGGAAGTGTGGATACAACGCACTGTATACTAAGCCTTCGGTACACAAGGAGGCAGCATGGGGGACTTTTTTGCAAACATAGTAATACTTGAGCTAGAAGTTTACACATGAAAATTCTTTAACTTCGTTAGTCTCCAGCTAACAAGGATAAGAACGAGGAGCTTCTGCATGACTGAAGCCTGAGGCGTCCCTCTCAACCAATCACGACGCCTCCCTCCTACACGCTCGGTTTAGTACAAGTCATTCACCCGAAGATTCAAACAGGTGCACGACACGTGCAACATCAATTTTTCTAACGGAAAAGACTTCTTCCTTAGCGAACTTTACCCTTGATGGCAACCATTGCTGGACAACAGTAACGGAATAACACATACAGAAGTATGGTGGACTTCGCGTAATACACCTTTTCACATATCCATTGAGACATTGTTACATAACTATTTGACAAATTTCATAACCGAATGACAGAACACATATCGAATGACAATCTAAAATAACTGTTGGTGGTATGTCATTCTCCAATTGTTACATTCTCAAACTATATGTAGACTATCGGTTTATTGTTCACGTCTGTCAACTTTATAACTTATGTCAATCACTTCCGTTAGCATGAACGAACAGTTATTTTAGATTGTCATTCGATATGTGTTCTGTCATTCGGTTATGAAATTTGTCAAATAGTTATGTAACAATGTCTCAACGGATATGTGAAAAGGTGTATTTGTGGACATCACCTCTGATGGTGTAATGTTAGTGTACAACAACAGTGGATTGAAAGTCATCCTCCAAGGTGTGTGTGTGTGTGTGTACAGTATATGTGTGCGTGTGTGTGTATATGTGCGTGTGTGTGTGTGTGTGTGTATGTATGTGTGTGTGTGTGTACATTAAGTCCCTCCTCACTCTCACCTCTCCAGGAAGTGTGAGGCCAGTCTCCTGAACCAATAAATACATGTTAAAATAAAACAAGCTGCACACTAAGTCCAACAGAAACTTAAGAGTAGTGATTTGTTTACAGTCGCCTCGGTGTGACTCCCGGCAGTCCTGTACACACTAAGTGTTTGGTATCCAAAGCCAATTAAATTATCGAAGTATCTTTTATCACATCGAAACTATTAGTGTGAGGGCCAATGTATCAGCTTTGGAGTCGCGTGGATTTCCTATGATAGTTTTTGACAACTTAAATAAATGTATTCTTTTGAGTCGAAAGAACAAGAAAATTGCTGCTGTCATTTTCTATTGGCCATCAGTGACCTTGGCCTGAGGTTAAAGTTCATGGGTTTAAATTCGTCTTCCTGGCTCTAAGCCTCTGTGTATAATTAGCATATGCAGGCCCTCTATCTTTGACCTTTGTGGAGAGGAATTGTTTGTAGAGCTTCTCACTTCAGAGATCTGTTTGTGAATTCGGCAGGACATGTTGACAAAAGTTGATCTTAACATGACTGAACGGGATGATCAAAGAGCGAGAGTGCGTGTTAGCTACCTGGGGGAGGTTAGTTTAGGTTAGGATGTGTTAGGTTAGCGTTAGGGGTGCTTAATCTTAGTCTGAAATGAGCTGGGGGTTAATTTTCAGGTGATTCGAATGCTTTTTACACATCAACCAAACCACACACACTGCTCTCTCTCTCTCTCTCTCTCTCTCTCTCTCTCTCTCTCTTAAACACATCAAGTCTTACCTGTTACTGCGTGTTTACATATTTCAATGGTTGATGTCTCCCTTGGCCAGTGGAAATGATTCTTGAACAGGTAGTCAGTTTATGCTGGGGGGGGGACGATATACGTGATGTTGTGATGTAACCTTAATATATAAATACAAGTAAATAACAGTATATTAACTTAGTATCAACCTTTACTCTCTTAATAGTGTATAGACAGAGTTAATGATCTTGTATGAAGTTGTATTTATCTTCTTGGTTCCGATACTTGAAGACACTATATACTTTAATACTTATGACACGTGTTTGGTTGAATGGTCATCACAGGTGTGCGTGGTTGAGTTGAGTATTTGGTGGATCTGTAGTGAGTATTTTGGAGGGAGGCGGGGGATCGACGTTCAGGGTGGTGAGACGAGAAGTGTGATCTCTCTTGTACTGTGAGGTCAGGTGTGTGTACCTGTGGGGGTGTGAGCTGCACTGGTCCGTGGTGGGGGGGTACTACTCTTGTCTGTGGTGAGGGAAGGGTTGTAATTGTAGCTTATAAGTACTACTCTGGTCCGTGGTGACTGGATATGTACTAAAGTCGTAACACTGCACTGGTCCTTGGTGGAGGGATGTGTACTTATGGCCTAAAGTACTTCACTGAGTCCGTGGTGGCGGAGAGCAAACAGTTGGTGTACAGGAGTCAGCGGTCACTCAACAGTAATTGGAACACACCGCACAATACCAACACACACACCTACACTAAGCGACACAACACACACCTACACCAAGCGACACGCACACAACGAATGGCGGGGAAGTGTTACCACCGCCATACTCACCTCGCGCGCGCCTTCACATTTACACACTCCAGCGCCTCCCTGATCACACACACACACACACACACACACACACACACACACACACACACTAACTGGCCTGGAATATATGACGCCCATTAGTATTCATTACAAACCGAAAGTTGATTCAACAATCGCTTTCACTGTCCCGAATTTCATAGTTTAGTAGTCGGGTGTACTGCTTTCTGTGGTCCGGGGGGGGGTTGGGGTAACCTGCCACCAGTTCCGCTGATGTTAGTTCTCGTGTCAGTCTTTGGTAAAAACAGTACAAGAACTTACTCTTTAGCAGTGCATAGTGATCACCTGTAGATTAATCAGTGATTAACAATCACCCTAACTTATTTCACGAGATGATTAAATACCCTAATGCTGACCTAACCTATCCCCTCCAGGTAGCAATAGGATTGTTGTTATGTTAATACTGCATTTCAAAATCTAAGTCTTTAAGCGCTTAACAAAGTTAGTGATACATAATGACTAGTCCAACAACACTGTATAATCATCTGGTGAAATAAGCTAAGTATCACGCTGGTGTGGCGCTGTACGGAGATGTTAACTAAGTCATATTAGTTGTGTGCGCTGCAGCTACACCACCTCTTTGATCATGTAAACAAATATAGTATTACATTATGACTCTGTTATTGTTTCTTTCACATTTACATTATAGTGAAGGTAATAATCAGGCTGGAAATACGTGAAAGAGTTGGCTGTTGTCAATCTCCGGTGACAACATACAGTACAGTGCTTTTGATTATAAAATGGCAATACAGCTTTTCATTCAAACTGTATTTTTCTCTCCATAGTTTGACCCACTTTTTGTTTTTTTAATCTAGAATCCTTTCCGATCCGCTTTCATAATTCATATGTCTGTTTGCGCCTCTAAGTTAGGATGACCAATTTTAACAATATACACTGTTAGCTGGTGAGTGAGCTTAAATTTAGAGGTCTTCGTACCCTTTATGGTCACACCAGCGTTCACTTATGATATGTGTTAGTAGCGGAAGTATTGTCAGAAGGAAGATTATTAATAACGATGTAATAATGAACTTTGTAGATCTTCCACCGTGACTGGAGGGGCAGGACCACCCAGTGATAATACTGTAATACATAATACCTCACTTAGTTTAACCCTGATACTTCTTGCTACACTGTACACGTCGGCCTCCCACCAACTGTCAACTGTCATACTACCTTTACAATATTACTAATACACATATGATAAGAGAAAAAAAATTGTATGCCTTTGTGAGCATTGCATGTGAGTGTGGGTGAGAGTAGCAGCAACAGGTAGTAGTTGTGAGGATCTAGACTTCTAGAGCATGGGTGGCGCATCAACTATAGTCGTGAGAGATAACAGTTTCAGTTTTGGTCTACTGTAGATGGCAACTTCCCAGTGAGGGACGGTAACTATGGGTGACTCACTTCCCGTGACCACACGCAGTTGTTATTATTGTTATTACACCGCTTCGGAGTTCCCATCACCTGCCTCACAGGATGTTCGTAGAAAGGTGCCCGGTTGTTCTACAGTTAACGTCATGCTTTCTAACATAGTTATGTACAATTTAAAAAAAATTTCTACATACTCTTTCACCGCTACAACTTGAAGTACTGGAGGGTGACTTATATATCCTGGGATAAAATGGTCAGTCGGTTGAATTGGAAAGGTTAGCTTTGAAAACTCCAGGAAAACAGTGAAAGTTCTATCTCACAAATTTAAGTTTCAAAATCCAAAATGTAAAATCACACGTAACAGGGGCAGATCCAGGGGGGTCCTGGGGTTCCGGACGCCCCCCCCCCTTTTCATCAGAAAATTCCAATACTTTTTCTTTAATGCAGTATTGTACTCAGGCATTTTTGTATTGTAAAAGGAAATTATGATTGACCTCAGAATATCTCCTTATATCAAGTGCATATGACCTCAAATGGCCTCCAAATGCCCATGATATTGGTCAGATTAAAAATAAAATAAATAAATAAAATCTGGGGGCTTACACCGCCCCCAAAAAATGCTAGTTGTTAGTTGTTCGCCACGTTTCCCTTTGATATTCCTGGATCCGCCCCTGCGTAACTTAAATTAACGCGACCTTCAAATATTGTTGTACTCAAGGTATACATTTAGGCAGTAATTTATAAACACCGCAAGTGCTGAGCCTCGCTGTGGTCACGGGAAAGTCAGGTAACGGGGTAAGTCATTAGGCGCCATGTTGCTTTGTGTGAGTTGTCTTTGACAATGAGGACCAACCGGCGGGGCCAGGGGAACGTGTGGCCAAGCTGACAAAAGGTTGTCTGCCCAGGGAAAGAACATACACCATGCCATCATTAATTGAGCATCACACCTAACACTCACACGGCACACTAACCTTGTTGCCATGAGTGACAACGCTACAAATAATGTCAAGTTATGCCGTCTACTTCCCACAACTTTCACAGCTCTGGCTCATTATCAACATACTTACTGGGGGTGCAGGTGTGTTGCCTGAGATAATACACTACGTACTGAGAGCTGTTTTTTGGCGTTAAATTTACCGGTAATGCTCTACTTATGAGAGGTCTTTAACCTTTTATTCAAGCGAATATCCAGACATTGAATAATAACTATATTTTATTCAGTCGAAAAGTTTACAGGTGTAAGGGGTAGATTTGTAACATTCCTCTGATACATTTGTCTTTACATATATTTCAGCATTCATTGACCGCCTATAAATTATAATATGAAGACATGTCATGAATCTGTGAAGAATTGTGAATGTATGGCAGGAGTGTAGGTTATCACGCGCCCATGTGATGACACTACTTACATTTCGCGCAGTAATTTAATTGTTTTAGGTTTATGATATTGATTATGGCTGAATTTACTCAACGTCCACCAAGCTGTGAATGGTTACCTGACTTATCAGTTAAGGAAGTGAAAGCAGTCGAGTAGAGTGGTGGCTATTACCTCGTGTATCGAAGCTTGGAATATGATGTGCTGTAGCCGCGTTGCTTCTAACGAACAGGCTATAAACCCACTTTTTATATGCACTTTCGAATAACCTGAAGATTAAGCACCTCAGCTTATTTCACCTTATGGTTAAACGCCCCAATGCTACCTGTGGGGGTGGGTTAGAATGTTTAATTATCAGATGAAAGAAGTTGGGGTGCCTAATATGATTCAGTTCTTTATTAGAAACAACATGTGGGCCCAGTCTGACACACACAACCTGGGCGACTGTGGTATCTTGGCATTAGCCTCTCCAAAACCCTACATTATATTTAACTCATTCACTTAAGAGTTTAGAGACCAAGAATTTATCAATAGACGTAGTGTTAAGTAAGTATTCCAAACGATTTATTAATTGTTGTTATACAGAACTAGATCTGGTTTACGGTGTACTGTATACATAAGTCCCACACGTCTATAACATTAACCTCATAAAAAAAAATATATATATATATGCAGTTGAAACTACTGTATATCAAGGAATCGAGGGGGGAGGGGGGGTTCTCAATCCCCGTTGAAGATGTGAAGCATCAATCTACTGTAGATAGTATTAGAGGAACGTCATGACCGTGCTTATCATATCTTGTCAGAGGAGAATTACAATAGATTCCTCTGCTTGGAGGGGGTGATGATGTTACTTGGACATAACATGGCTATTGATTTGGTGTCTGTTGAGGGTGGGAGTGAGGGTAGACTTTCACACTTAGAATTTGGGCACTATAATATTCCCTGGATTTTTAAGTAGTAAAGAAGGATAAAAACAGGAAGATGGACGGGGGAAGGGGGAGGTGTTTGTGAATCATGGTACAGCACTAACTTGTGTATCAGGAAGATGGATGGGGGAAGGGGGAGGTGTTTATGAATCATGGTACAGCACTAACTTGTGTATCCTGGCTCGGGACAGACAAGAGAAGGATGTTTTCCAGTGTGACCCTACGAAATTTGCTTTCACAGCTTCCCTCTGACCACTCTAGTTTCCACTTGCATTAACACAGGAAAATAAAGTTCATAACAGTTACAAAAAAACAGACCAACTGCACTAACAGCTCGTAAGTGATGAAATGATAAATTATCGCATTCTACAGCAGAAGTATAATACCTGTACAGTACTGTACTAATACCATAATACATTACAGAGATGGTAGATTACAAGGTTAAGTGCCTGGTGTAATGTGACATATCATACCTTGACTGATTTTCCTAACATTTACTTGTACTGTACTACAGGTAGTATTGTAAAAGGGATAATAAGTTCAATTCCAGCCTGGTCTACATTTACCTATGTTGTATTGTAAAGTGTTTCCCCTAATACTATATACAGTATGGAATATGTGTATTTGGGATGATAGAAATGTTCTGTAGTAAACCTTATTAAATTAATAAAGTTGAAACACGTTTTGCGCATGGGCCCTCAGCAGGATATGGCCGCCACTGTTGCCAAACAAACCTAACATAACCAAGGAAGCTGATTTTACTCAATTTTTCTTACCTTAGATCATTGAAAATTGAAAAAAAAAATCCCTTGTGGCTAGTGGCATACACAAGCATCTCAAGGTGAAGGAGGCAAGGGGGAGGGGGGTATAGCCTTGCAGCTGCTCTTAAGAAGCCATGTTAAACTCAGAAGAAACTAAAAAAAAAACCATAGAATGAAATTCATCTATATATTTTAAATAAGACAATAAATATCCCAGGATTACAGCAAAGGTTGTCCTAAAACAAATGTTAACCAAGTTTTTGCTTCGACAGCTAATTCATACAAGGTTTGAATACTAGGTTATTTAATAAATTTATTGTGGTAAGGATTCAGTAAATACAACCATGGAACTCTTATATTGATTTTTATACAGGGTATTTAGGAAATACAATTCATAATTCAGGGGTGCATTGCCGAGACATACATAAAGATAAATGACTCCATGACCAGTGTCAATAGAGTACCCCATAGTTTCAGTTATACCAGAATTGAATAGGGGAGGACTGCAACTAGTCTATGGCCATAAAACATAAAATATCAAGCCCTATTTAAAGTACGTGGTTACAGTCGAGTGGGTCTGTTGACAATCTACATATTCACCCCCAGGTGTGATGTTACGCCATACCGTGCTTCCCTTGCTCATTTGGCACCGTCACACTACATGTGTGGCGGCTAGGGAATTGATTGATCGGGCTGTTTGCCAGTACAGTATTTGTATACATGTATTAATATTTGAAAGAACAATCTTCATAAAAAATAAAACTACATATTTAGGTTTCGGTGATATGATATATGTCACTTACAAAAAAAGAAACATTTTAAGAGACAATGAAAGGAAAGGAGGAGGCAGCAGGGTGGGAGTAGGGGGAGAGGCAGGGGAAGGGTGACAAGAAATGAAAAGGAGGTATAAAGTGTTAACTAGAGAGAAATGAAAGGAAACAAAAGGTGGCAAATAATGTTTTTGGAAATGGATCTGGATAACTTTCAGTCAGATAAGGATAAATAAATACCAGCAAGGGTAAAGATGTGCCAACAGTGTCACTTACCATTTTTCAGGGAATTAGTATACAGTAGTTTACTCAGTTATGTTCTCACTTGGTAACAAACTCATCCATCTATATGTATTGTAAGACAAACATGATATAGCAGCATTGCGTTCTCATTATTGTATGATATATATTTAGTGTATGAAAACTAATATTGCATGAGGAAGTTGTTGCATACTGTATTTCTATAAATATCAAACTTTATATTTTGCACAGGCCCTATTTTCCAGTGATTGTTGGTACTGTATTATTATTTATTGCACAAGTGTTACATTCTTGGTACAAATATTACTTTCGTTTTCAGAAAATACTGTACACCATTTCATCAATCTTAACTACAATATTTTTTCCCTGATCTCTATCACTTGACCTTTTTTTCTTTTTTTTTACTGTAATTAGCCCACCCGGGCACAGGTCAAACGACCCACAACAGGGCTTGGGGGGCGAAAAAATAGGAACAGAAAGAAATTGAAAATAAATTAGAAAATTTTTATACTTTGTTAATCTACACCAGTACCTTAATTTTGCAAGGACTGAAAAAGAATCACTCAAAAAGTTTTTAAGTTTTTATTATTATAAAGAATTACATTTCCTTTTACTTTTTTTTTTTTTTTTTTAATCTTTCCCTCAGCAAAGTAATAATTGGTTGATAAATTCTGATGGTTTCATTTCAAGGGAACTCCACTTTCTAATAAGTATGAGACACTTAACTGGATACAGCCCAACTTGGTCCCTGAAACGAGAGAAAATGCATTTTGTTAATAGTTAATCACCTTTTGTGTTTTTGTGACATAAGAAATCTGTTATCATTTGTGAGTATCTCTCTCTGATCAAAAAACACACCAGCCACAACCTTGAGCGTCAATTTACAGCACTTTCTTCCTAGTAACCTTCAACACATGCATATACAGGGTAGCACCAAGTTGTCTTACGAAGGAGTTAACATACACATTGTTATGGTAAAGCAACTTATGCACCACCCTGTATGCTTTCAAAGGAAAACTACTCACTGCTCTGTCAGTATTATCCTAATCTGTGCCACCTTAAACTCCAATGCTTAGTGGCACAGACCAATTTGACAAAAATATATTCTTCCAATGGTGATAATAAATTTAATAGGTAATTGGTTTCTACATACAGTAATCCTGTGTTTTTTGTGTTTTTTTCTATCGCGGTTTTGACCATTCGCATTTTTTTACTCAAAAAATTATATATATATATATATATATATCCTTTAAAAACAAAGTATTTTCGCGCCACTTTCGATATTCCCCTGTGCGGTGCGGCAAACAGACACCTGCTGCTCCGAGAAGCCTCAGTCCACACGTGCCTACCGTACTGAGGGCGGGCAGACGCCAGGACAGCAGGGAGAGGCTGGCAATGCGGGTGTTGCTGACCTCAGCGAAATATAAAATTTTTTATATACTTGTAAATAAATTTTTTTTTGTATATAACTGTTACACTTTTCCATTATTATACTACAATATGGTTAGTTTCAAATAATGATGTTAGTAAATGCCGGTACAGTGCATCAGTGTGACCACTGGGCCATGAGTGGAGAGCATGGCATGGTTAAGTGCATGACCTACCTGAGCTGTTTGGTGGTCACAAGTACAGTGATTCCTAAAAGTATTCGCGGTTTTGGCTTTTCGTGGGGGTTTCAGGAACGTAATTCCCGCAAAAAACACGGGATTATTGTACGTCTCATTCAGCTATCACTTTATATGTATGTTATAAGTTGGTGATAAACATATTTAAAGTGGTTTACTGCAGCTTATTCCCCATCAGTTGCCAGGTTATTGGTTGACCGACACTCAAATGTGTCTCTTCACCATTTTTCAGTTGGTTCCAAATTAATAGCCAATGATATCTTTATTTCCTCCACTTTGGTTAAATTCAATAATAGATGCTCTCGTGTTTTAAGCATTGTGTCTTCTTAAAAATCTCAATTTCCTTGCCCAGTCACCTTCCCTAATTCTTACAGGGACCTGTGGGGTGGTGAGGAGGAGGAGGGGGATAGTAGTAGTAAGATACACACCTCACCAGGGCTACAAAGGGCTATAACTTAAATTAGAGAAAGACAATTCAATATTTTGCTTAGAAAAACAACAAAACTTTATGATTCCATTGTTCGTGCACATTTTTCTGAAGCTGAACTATTTACCCTAAGCATGTAATATGACATGACAATCTCAAATTTAAGTACTACACATATACTCACTTCACTGTATCTTGCTGTAGCTTTCTTCTCCACGTTGATAGAAAGCATTTGTGTACGAAAACTGAGAGTCTTGGTTTTCTCAATAAGCTGCTGATATGGAGATACAGCTTGCGTACCCATCACCACATGGCCTTGCTGAGAATCTATCTTGGCATCCAATTTGGCCTGTCGAATCAAGTTAACAATCCACCTCTCAGCATCCTTGGGTGTCATGTTTAGCTTCTCTGCCAGCATGCTGATGAATATTTAATATTATTAGAAATGATTCTGACTACTTGTACAAATAAATTGTTTTAAGTCAATACTGTCCCAAAAACTATGAAGCTCATTTCACTTGCATAATGTGAAAATCCTTACAAAGTATTTTTTATTTAATTTTTTTTAAAAACCTCCTAGATAGTAATATACAGTACTGTACTATTTCCAACCAAACTAAATAAAATAAAGATGGCAATAAGCAGGCAGATAATTATTTCTGCTACTACCAATATTTACTTTGCCCATTAAAAATGTGCACAGTTACTTGGACAAATTCATCACAAACTTACTTAATACTGATACACTGATGAATTCTGCAGAAAAGCTCAAAGATCATGAGTCTAGCATTCTCAATGAAGTCATTTTGACAAGCAACAAGGAAGAAATCATTTTCCAAAACTGCAGCACATTGTTGAAGTTTTTCTTGGGCGGCATCAAAGTCAAAATCGACATAGAGATGAGCCAGGAATTCTGTGATGGGATCCTTGTACGTGTAGCTCTCTTGTTGAATTACTCTCACCAGATCCTGGATATTAAAGCAAATTAATTATCAAGGTTTATCTACACACATCATACCCTAACAAAGTACTGTACTTGGGTTCATACATAGGAGTGCTAGTTACAACTAGCAAGGTTATCCTAAAACTATATCTTGCACTTGTGAGACCACACTTGGATTATGCAGTTCAGTTTTGGTCACCATACTACAGAATGGATATCAAATCCCTAGAAAGCATACTGAGGATGATGACAAGATTAATCCCAGCCATTAGGAACCTTGATTACAGACAGATTAAAGTATCTGAATTTGCACTCACTCGAGAAACGTAGAGAGAGGGACGATATGATCGAGGTGTAAAATGGAAGACAGGGTTAAACAAAGGTACTTAAGCTATCCAACCAGGAGCGAACTCATAGCAATGGTTTTAAATTTTACAAATTTAGATTTAGGCATGAGATAAGTAAACACTGGTTTGGAAATAGAGTAGTGGATGAGTGAAACAGTTACCAAGCATCATCATTAACTCGAACACACTGGGTAGCTTCAAACAGGTTGGATGGATAAATGAGTAATAGGGGTTGGGTGTAAACAGGACTGACCAGTATGGATTAATGGGCCTGCTGCAGTTTCCCCCATTCTTATACCCTACCACAGCTCAAAGTCGATTATAAAAACTTACATCGTAGTTATTAATGTCACTATAATTACAATACACTATGTTATGCTAATGATTCAACATTTATTGTACAAAATTATACCATGATTATTAATAGTTATATAATTAACATTGAAGATTATCAAGTAGAAATTAAAATTAATTTATTAGTATAAAGATTCTTCACAGGATTTTTTTTTATACCTACAAAAATATATAACTAACCTTCATTGCAGCCCTCCTACTGTTCTTATTAATAACAACAGCAGTTGCTAGGTAACGCAGGACATGAGGACACATAGTTTGTAAAGCATTGAGATATGGCTGCTGGTACAAGAACATCTCAATGATTAATTCACGACCTGAAAGATAACATGATAAAATTAGATACAATACAAAATGCATGAACATTTCTTCAATAATCTTTTAAAAAGTAAACATATTTCTCAATACTCTATTAACTTACACTGAAAATTATTGTATATTGTACCTTTTAGTCATACCCAAGCCTTTATAAAGTCCAGATTGGTACAAATTCTCATATTGTATACAGTATTTAATAACAGAACTTTGCCATCATGGGATAACCAAAGTTCACTTTTCCTTGCATTCTTGAAATGAAAAGTGAAGACCACCAATTATCTACAGCAGTGTAGAGTAGTGTTAACTGCTGGTATGTGTTACTCAATGTTAGGCTCTTAAAGGTGCAAAGTAGTACAACACAATAACTGCCTATTAGTCAAGTCTAATTTTTATTTCCTCTTTATGTAAACTTACCCTTAGGATGGTTGAAAAAGACAAAGAGTGACCAATGGATCAACCAAGTACGTTGTTGAAGGGCCTGTAGTGGTGAGGTCGTGAGATTGGCCTCAATGAACTCCTTCAAACGATTAAGGTCCTCGAGTGCATTTTCCCAATGCTGAGTTAAAATCTCAGATGCCAGCTTTCCCCACAGTCCATTCAGGAAGTTCTAGAAAAAAATATAAGTAAAGTATAAACAAAACACAGAAAGAATATACCTGTATAGGCTTATTTATGGGAAAACCATTACCATATTATCACATCTATTGTTATTCTTGTTTAAAATAACTTGGTAATTTTTAACATACCCAGAATGTTTATTCAAAATTATTGATTTATCTTTACACCTTTTTATGAGTCATAATGTACATGTTTGTTCATATTAGATGAAATGCAGTTTTTGAATACTGTACAGAACTTAAAATTTCAAGTGAGGTACTGTACTGTGTTGACAAAACATGTACTGTAGTTTATACCTTATCACTGCCAGGTACTAAACCACGATGGAGATAAAGATAATCTGCTGCACCAGAGTAATTACCACACTCATATTGAAACTTTGCAAATGAGTACAAGGTATCCAACATTTCTGGTCGGAACTGCAAAGATAACAGACATAATCAGTACAGGGTTATATATTCTATTTAGCTATTCTGCATTATATAATTTGAAGTAACTCATTAAATAAATATTATAAAAAGATATGTTATACACATCAAAAGGCATACACTGTACAACAATACTGTATGTTTGCTACAAGACTGTGGCGCATAAATATCAATGCACACTACAGTATTACAATCCCAACTTCAACATATTCCACAAGCCATTGCATTCCTCCAACAGCCTCAAGTTAGCTTAAATGGAAGGATCTTACACATACCTAAATCTAAAAAAGGAAATAGAAAAATGGCGAGCAGGTTTCTAGAACAAATACAAATTATTTAAATACTGTCCTGATATACCCGTACCAAGTTTAGGAGCATCTCTGAACGAGGTTTCAATTTGTACGGTGTATGTATTCACGTTGTACAGTCATAAAAAATTACCAGTACAGTATATTACATTTTTTCTATCATGCATTTTCCTGCTTCATGAAGGGTGGCCAGTAATATGAACAAATACACACCTGCATTTCCCCATCATTCACCGTCATTCATTCATTCCTACTAATGTAAGAGATAACTACTGTGTTGGTACTCCCCTTACATATTTGGTTTACATGTCGCTTAAAACCCAGCATCATCCACTCTCACCAGATAATACAATAATAATCATCATATTGTTTAAATTTTCCACTTGTACAGTATCTACATGTGTACAGTATGTCTCTTGGCATGTGCATATCTGTAAACTCTGGGATTACAATGTTCCTAGCCCTCCTACAGTGTGTCCTCTGACTCTATAAAGTGTGAGGTATAGGTGACTAGCACAGACTTATGTATTCATTTTTCCCCTTTCTTGAAATAAAAATAAAATCAAATTATAAATAAGATCTAAAACACCACTGTACTAAATAGTGGATGGGTTGGAACTGGGCACCCATGCTTTATATCCTGGGCAAAACCTGCATATGTCACCATGTGTGATATTTCAGACCATTCAGTCTATTTAGAGGTTATTTTGATTTTCAAATAAAAAATCTGAGTAAATTCGTAAAAAAAAAAAAAAAAACAAGATTTGAATTGTACTCAAACCAAAAACCGGCTCAAACAGCTGTGCATTAGACATACCAGGCATTTATATTTTTTACTTTAAATGGGTGTGAATTGGATGCACTTGTGGCAATGCAGAATCTTATAGTACTGCATCAAATATCTGGGCGGTTCAACTCACATCATAATTATCAACCAAGAACTGCATGAGGGTGCGATGGTCACGAGATGCCTGAAGCTGCTTTTGTACTTCATTGTCACTGAAGATCTTGAAGATTGGCTCAGTCTCTGTCTAAAGAAATTTGCAAATTTAAAAAATATTTTCTATATCCAGTACAGCTAATAGTACCGTAAGCTTAAAAAAACGCAAGTTACCGGTATATATAGAACTTTCTTTACTGTTTGCAGACATAAATTAATTTATTCATTTTTTTTTTATAAGTAGCTTTGTATTTATTTACCAAGTTCAAACAATAGATTCAGAAGCTAAGACTGTTTTCATAACTCCAAAGACCTGGATATTCACCAACAGATGGGGTGATGTTCAATAACATTGAGAGTAAGAAGTACACAGCGAGGTTCTACAAGAACAAGATTAGAGGGAATGTGGTTACATTTTTCATAACGACAGATTTCCATGAGCTACGCTTTCAGAATAGTTAATAGTACAGTTCAAAATTTTAAGTTTATATTAAAAACTTATTTTACCAAGTTCCTCACCTGGAGACGTTTCAATTCAGACACAACGCGAGACCTGCGGTCTGGAAGCTCTGTAGTAGCAGGTTGGTCCGGGTAGAGTGATGTATGGATATCCATTGCAAAATCCACCATGTTTGTGCTGGACAGCAGCTCCAATTTTGCTCTCTGTAAGTCTGTTTCATCATAGATCTGGAAAATCAGTGTTACATCAGCAATGGGTACTAATTCCATACAAAACTCACCTGTCGGCAAAACAAACAAAATATTAATTGTTGCATACAATACAGGTAATAATGTTAGGAGTATTTCAGCCAACCAAATCAGAGCTGACAAGTGATAATAAGATTAACATTTGTACTAATATTCCTGACCAACATCAAGTTAACACTCTACATATTACTTTTTTAACCAGCTTGTGGACCTGATTAATTATAAAGGAAAGATTTACCATGAGTGTTAAAGAAACCTTTTCATAATACAGTATGGTATGTACCAAAAACACGACAGAATAGTTATAGGAATTATAATTTGGTAAATATTCCATATCGACCATGCACGGAACTCTATATTGATTTGTATATAGGGAGATAGAGAAAAAAAATGCTTTATAGTACCTTTGTCGAACATGTATATTTTTATTTTTGTTTCACTTAAATGCAATTTTAATCACACAAAGTGGGCAGGGCTTTCAAGTAGAGGAAAATTGTGGAGTAAAAACACGAAAGAAACTGATGAAACCAAATCAAACCAAATGACTTAAATATCAGTATAACATGTCTAACCTAATCAGAGAAACCAGAAGGACCTGATCTAACCTCCTATCCTGGGGGGCTCCACCCAAGGACACACCGCTGTAATGTCATAAACTTTAGCTCCGCCCCATTCAATGACGTCACTCTACCTGTGGTGACCACAAGGACTACAGCCTTGCCTTGGTTGATGTTTGATTGTTTAATTTTTTTTAGAATACTGGTTAGGCTAAGGCTTTTCTATGGCCAGGTATAACAAAATGAATGCCTTATGTTCTCATAGTCCTCCAAAAAATAAGTGATCTAGCCCAAACCCCCAAAAAATTTAAAATAGACAAATATTACAAGGAAACACCCAGGGGGTGCCAGGCATTTCACTGATGACATGGATGAAGAAACTAAATTTTTTAGCTTATAAGCAATGCAAAGATTTTCCTTTTGCCAGACATGGCAAGGTGAATGTCCGAGGGTACTCCGGACAACTGGATATTGCCTTAAAATGCACACTTAAGAAAATAATGTAAGTTTCTCTAGGCGTTAAGCATCACCACTGTTGCTGGTGAATTAAGTGATGTAAATCTGTTTTTTCTTATATTTGGGGCAATATTTTTTGGGGAGGTCAGACATGGCAAGAAGAATGTCTCGTGGTATTCTAGATGACCTGATATTGACTGACACTGCAGAATTAAGAAACTACAAGAAATCCTCCCTCACGACTTGAAACAAGTGTGGTGCTGACACCTGAAACTCGCGTACGGATGTACTTAACTTTAATTTCCTCAAGATTATTAAAGATGTTCAGAGTTCTTTTTGGACACATAAAGCAAGATGATTGTCTCACCTTCCTGTGGATACCTGGATACCGAAAAACATTTCAGAATTAAGGAGATACAAAAGAAATATGAACTCTTCAAACAAGTTCTCGGCTAGCCTAATGTGTTTACTTTATCAGAGCGCTTGCGGACATTTATCCATTTATCACAAGTTTTCTTATATCTAGGATATGTGTAATACTTGATGCGCTCTCTGCTTGGGATTTCAGCTTTACTGGTGCATCCGTATATTGCACAAATAACAAGACTAATCCCGGGCATTAGGAACCTTGAGTACAGAGACAGGTTAAAGCATCTTAATTTGCACTCCCTCGAGAGACGTAGAGTGAGGGGGGACATGATATAGGTGTATAAATGGAAGTCAGGGTTAAACAAAGAGGACATTACAAAGGTACTCAAACTATCCAACCAGGAGCGAACTCGTAACAATGGTTTTAAATTAGACAAATTTAAATTTAAGCGTGAAATAGGTAAACAGTGGTTTGGAAACAGAGTAGTGGATGTATGGAACAAGTTACCAAATATCATCATTAACTCGAATACGCTGGATAGCTTCAAACATAGGTTGGATGCTTATATGAGCAATAGGGGTTGGGTATAAAACGGGACTGCCCAGTATGGGTCAATAGGCCCGCTGCAGTTTCCTCCATTCTTATGTTCTTATAATTGTTGGTCTATGACCAGATGCGGGCATACACGGAGGCTACCAGATGATACATGTTTACAACAGTGACATCACTGAGCTGTGCATTGTAGGTAAAACAAGTGTCCGGTGAACTAGTCTTACTGACTCTCATCCATGGCTCCACCCACCTGGACCCCCCTATGGTTTGTGTAAACCTAACTCAAGGTACAGCAGCCGTTTGTTTAATGCATGGCAGACAGACTATACAATGATAGTTACTAAGATGGCCTTCTTTCTGACTAACGTAACGTAACGTAACCTAACGTAACGTAACCTAACCAGTAACAACAGTCAGTCAATACGGCTGCTGTACCTACTGTACATCCAGTGTGATTTTTGGCGTACGGCTGCCGTACCTGTATCCACTGCAGTATTTTTAATCTGTACTTTTAAAAGGCATGTCATACCTTCTCTTGGTTTCAAGACTGAATTCAAAAGGGACAAAATATGTTATGATTTGGCCGGTAGTCAAGTGTAAACAAGCATGCCTGACAGACTCTCACCTTTTTCTCCCCAATCGTGAGTCCTAACCTGGATTATATTAGTGTATGTGTTGAACAGTATGAGAAGCTACTTACTCCCTTGACGGATAAAAATTCCATAAGAGGGAAAACTAAATGGCGGTCCAAAAAGGGCCCTAACTTCCAGGTTAGGTCGTATTCCGCCATCTTTACTTGCTGAAGGAAGACAAGTGGGTGCTAGTATATAGATATTTTTATTTTTAAATGTAATTTGTTTAGTTTAATTATACGTTTTAATTATCTAAAAAATATAAGTAATATTGATAAACTACTAAAAATTGCTTGGTGTATGAGAGAACTGAATATAATATTTGTACCAGCACACGCGCTAATACACGTCAATAATGATTACTGTGAAACAATTTAATTAAGTTTATTACAGTTAATGGAAACATAATTATCACAAAGGATGCCGTTAAGAATAGCAAACTGTCCGCACATGAGATAGTAATATTTTCATCCGTAAATAACTGCATAGTTGTCCGTATTACAACCCAAGCTGTTTTACCTACATAAAAGCTAACTTGAAGATAACTCAGTATATTTAAATATTCAATTCTTGGATCAGGTTAACACCTTTAAGAAAATCATATCATTAATATTTACGAGTATAATAATAGCTTCAACATATGCTATCGATTCATTTACTATTTTAAGTTTTCCTGTGGAATCCTCATACGCTTCATATCAAAGGTGATGTATTAAATACATTTTCCATGTGTTAGATTCATTGGTTTATTTGTGAATATGAAATCTGGAGATAAGTGTCGATGAACTTGGTAAGTGAATGTGTTGACCAATCTGACACTTTCTCGAGGATGTGTGACGTCGGAGCTAAACAAATCTATCCATTACCGCCGCAAACTTCACCCACTCAATCTGACGACTATCACATACTAAATTTTTTTCTTGTTTCGTCACTTTTCCTTTTCTTTCCACATATTATTGTATTTCATCAACAAAAATGTATAAGCCTTCTGTCAGCTTCTTTATATCTACCATAAAGTACAAAAAAAATACTCGCCAGTGATATATGAGTCTTGAAAGTTTTGTAACACATTTTGCAGTGCATTATCTGAACCGTATTCCGAAGTCTTCCTCTTTAATTGTCAGTTCATACGCTGTGTAGGTGAATACACTTCAGAATACATCTGAAGTAACATGACGAGTAAGGTCCCCTATCTAGGAGTTCAGAAAACATTCATTCAGTTGTTCCTCCAAGCTGTGAAGTTTGTACGGGTCTTCTTTAACTTCTTGGAAGTTTAAAAAAAAAATATCTGCATTTGTCGTAAAACAGCATTTTCTTTTTCGGTTAACCATACTTTTTTAAAAACTGATATTACGTAAGACTGTACTGTTTTCTCGGATATCTTTATTACGTCAAGGTATGTTTCAGATTTACAGTAGAAAGCCGACAAGTTAGATATGAAAGGAAAGACAAATAGATATTCAGTATATTCGTCACACAAATGCACATTGGTTCAGCATACTGTACTGTATAAGTGTATATAGTACACAGACAGTGCAAGTACACATAGTACAGTTATAAATTGTACATGGACATTGGAAGTACACATTATACATAGTGGTGGTATAAATTGGACATAGGCAGCAGGTATACAAACTGGGTTGTTTTTTGTTAGTTTAACAAATTTATTGACAAAGCTTGGAGTACAGTTTGCCTATTCTGAGTAATTCAGCCAGGTCTTGACACTGAGGGTGGTATCACTTCTCACTGCCACGCAGGACAGAGGTTCATACACAAAGAAATACATCATATTCATTAACAGTATATATAGGTCAGATTCATGAGGGTGATGTCACTGTTCACTGCCATGCAGGACAGAGGTTCATACACAAAGAAATACATCATATTCATTAACAGTATATATATATATATATATATATATATATATATATATATATATATATATATATATATATATATATATAGTATCAGATTCATGTGGGTAATGTCACTGTTCACTGCCATGCAGGGCAGAGGTTCGTACACAAAGAAATACATCATATTCATTGACAGTATATATAGGTCAGATTCATGTGGGTAATGTCACTGTTCACTGCCATGCAGGACAGAGGTTCGTACACAAAGAAATACATCATATTCATTGCAGCAGCATCATAGGCATTAGAGTCAGAGTCATGTGGGTGATGTCACTGTTCGCTGCCATGCAAGACAGTGGTTCATATACATTGGACGTCATATTCTAATTGACTAATCAGTGTGGGCTAGCAAATTTGGGATAAACAGCAAGAATGTCCTCAAGCACCCCCGATTCAATGTAGTAATTACAAAGTTCATGATACAATAAGCCAGGTGGCCTGAAGTCTTTGACAGTGTCACATTCAATAATATAGTGTTCAAGTGTATGCTTTAAAGGTTTATCACAAAGTTTACATGCTGAGTGTTCCGGTATGGGTACAGCGTTACTAACTTGCCAGATGTGTCTGTATCCTAGCCTAATTCTGGCCACGACTACATCACATTGTCTGGTTCTGTCCTTATGCTGGCCATACCGGTACCTCTCGTCACAAAATTTGTCATATTTACTAATGCTACAACTGCCAGGTCTCTGCATTTCTCAGTTCTTCTAGATCAGAGTTCATGATTCTGACTTGAATGTTTTTAAATACAGCATTGGACAGGCCAAGGTCACGGTCAACATTTTCTTTCTTACATGCCTCATTGGCCAGTCTATCAGCACGGTCATGATACCTAATTCCAACATGGGACGGAATCCACACAAATTCGATACGAGAGTTGTTCTCATTGGCAGTTATCACATTTCTTTTAATATCACATACAACTTTAGACATAGAGCCTGACGGGCTGTTCATTGATTTCAAAGCACTTTGAGAGTCACAGAATATCACCCCACCTCCATTTTCTTTGAGGTAGTCTGTAGCTAAGTAGATTCCAGTTAGTTCAGTTTGTGTTGTGCTGACCCAGTTGTTCAGCCTTTGTTTGTTTGACACTATCATCTCTTTTTCTTTATATATTACAATTGCACAGCCTGTTCTACCTGTGTTTGTCTGCACAGAACCATCAGTAAAAGCATAACATTCACTTGATTTAATACTCTCTATGTGTCTGTTAATAGTTTCTAGTGTGACACATCTCATCACATCGGTGTTTAACATTTGCTTACTACCAACAGGAGTGTAATTAATAGGAACTGATATATCCAGCCAAGGAGGAATGGCATTAATGGGTTCGTCTGGGGTGATTGGGACATTCAGTTTCAAGAGATCTGCAACACTTTTATGAAGCCACGCCCCAAAGAGAGTCTTTTGTGGAAGGTTGGCGAGATGGTCGGGATTACTTACAGTAGATAGAACATCAACTCAGTTTGAGCTGTAGTTTGGGGACCATTGTTCTTCAAAACTTTGACACAAAACATGGTATTAAGTAGAGCTATCCTCTCAGATAGGGAGGGCAGTCCGAGCTCTTTCCTCAGGTTTACAATTCATGGTTGATTTTGGGCATCCTAGAATGATGCGTAAATAGTTCCAACAAAATCTGCTCAGCCACGTTGTTTATGGTGGCAAAGGAGGGAGGTACATGATGCAGCCTCAAGCCCTATCAGTGATAATTTACCCTCTGATATAACGAATACTTATAGATAAGGATAGAGTTTAATTGTAATGGTATATCTTTTTGTGTTTTCTGCATAATTTATTTACTACTATTTCATATCTGAAAAAAAAAGATATATTTTTTTCCGTCCTTGCTGCTTCGACCCGATTTGAGTAATTTTTAGATAAAATTCTTTATCACGTCCACACGAATACCTACTGTACAGGTCCTATATAGTGAGGATGAAGAACTGACCATACTGGGTAGATCTTGTTTACTGCAGGGATACCGAATCTCTCCCCCTCTCTCTTAAACACAATATGTATATTATTGTTATTATTATTATTATTATTATTATTATTATTATTATTATTATTATTATTATTATTACTGAGTCAAACTACACATGTTTTTAAAGTCACAAGTTTTAAAATCCTCATGTTCTAATTTGTGATCCCCTTCTCTTAAGCTCCTCTACGTGTGTGTTGGTGTTGGTGTGGGGATTAGTGGATGACATCATTATGACCTGACCTCATGTTTAATAAGGTCACCGTGTATATTTAAGCCTCTCTCTGTCCATCTAATCCAGTTGCCTCTGAAGATGTCTTGAATAAAGACGAAAGCTAAGGCGTTGTTTCTTTCCCGTGTGATTTTATCAAGATTTATCTTATCCACCTTTTCATTGTGATCTACATGAAATATATCTATCTATCTATCTATCTATATATATATATATATATATATATATATATATATATATATATATATATATATATATATATATATATATATGTGTGTGTGTGTGTGTGTATACACTCGTATATAAAGAGGTAAAAAGAAAGAGATAAATAGAAACAAGCAGTAAACAGATAGTTTTATCCTTTATTTGTCAACCACCATCACCACGACACCACCACCCACTCTTGCCACAGCCCACCCCACCATCTCTTGCTACACCCCATCCCACCCACTCTCACGCCCCACCCCACCCACTTGTCACACCTGCCCCACCCACTTGCACACCCTACCCACCCACTCTGCCACCTCCACCCCACCCACCTTGCCACACTCCACCACCACTTGTCACACCTGCCCCACCCACTCACACCCCCCCACCCACTCTGCCACACCCCACTCCACCCACTCCACACCCCACTCCAACCACCTGCAACACTCTACTCCACCCACTCTTGCCACACCTCACCCACTCTTGCCACACCCCACCCCACCCACTCTTGCCACACCCCACCCCACCCACTCTTGCCACATCCCACCCCACCACTCTGCACACCCCACCCACTCTTGCCACACCCCACCCCACCCACTCTTGTCACACCACACCCCACCCACTCTGCCACAGCCCACCCCACCATCTCTTGGCACACCCCACCCCTCTTACCACACCCCACCCACTCTTGCCACACCCCACTCCACCACTTTGCTACACCTCACCCCACCCACTCTTGCCACACCATCCCACCCACTCTTGCACACCCCACCCCACCACTCTTGCCACACCCCACCCACTCTTGTCACACACCCCAGCCCACCCACTCTGCCAC